GTAATTCTACGCAGCCTTGTAAAGAAATAAAACTTCGCCTTTGGAGAGAAAATCAAGAAGTATTCGTGGATCCCACATGTCGCCCTCAGTGTTGCTCAAGTGATTTATGCAACAATCCAATACCCGAGCCGAAACCACCCACCACCCTCCCTTGCATCAAGATTACTCCACAGCCCCGTAAGCCTTTAGAGAAATGCTTTAAAATGGAGCCAGGATTCATTTCAAAGCTCCCAGAGAGGAGGCAACAAGAGAAAAACTGTTCAAAATACGGTGTGTTCGATTCTTGCTTCTCTCTCAAAGCCCAGGTCTTCAACGACACTACGCGAAAACTAGTGGAGACGATAGAGTGGAAAGACTGTGCGACCGACAGGCGTGACTGTCACGCAATCAAAAACAGGTGCGCAATGATGCAGGAGTTAGCGAAGGCTCAGGGTACTTATGTGGAGAATTGCTATGTTAATTGTTGTGGTGAGGATCTCTGTAATTCATTTAGTGCAACCCCGCCTCCGACAGCAGATCAGCTTGGAGTAAAGGCTAATCACGCAGAGCGTGCTTCCGAAAGTCTAGTCTCGATGACTGCATTTTTTGGAATCTTCTTGCTGAGAATGATCGAATACACATTTCACACTTGCTTACTGGGTGTGGAATTTTAACATTTTAACACACCTAGCTCCTGCTTTCACTTTACAATATGAGGCATACGCCCCCGGGGAGGGGACGTTAGGAATCTTTGGGTGGGGATGTGCCGCTGGGACCCTGGAACCCTTAGCCTAAACCAGAGCTAGTTCAGCTGAATTTTGCTATCCTATACTAGACTACTCCCCAAATCCCACTATCCTAGAGTACATTTTAGGCTGAGTTGCGTAAATTTAAACTTGCCGATTTGCTTCAACCAATTGATCAGTTTCCTGCAAAATGATACCCTTTTCTACTCCCAAACTCTCTGATTTATATACCCTATCCCAGAGTAAACTGCTTGAAAACCATATCCTTAATTCACAGCGACAAATACCTATATAACCCATATATGGCAGTACCCACCGGGGCATGCTCGAGGGGGATCATAGATATTTGTCACACATATTGGAGTGTTGGTGAGAGCAAGCCCTCTTTTTAGCACCTTCTTCCTAAGCCGAGAGAGTTTGGGTAGGCCTTCTCCCCCCCCTTTCCGTGGCAATACGAACAAAAAGTATGGAAATGAATGAGAGAATTTTGAATGCACTTTTATATAGTCATACACTTAGATAGCACAAAGTGCAATTGTACGCGTGTAGATATACGTCGTGTGTCTGAGGCGAGGTACACTTTGCTTGAAGCTAAAAACTTAAACACAAAGTTTTGCAGAGCGCCTTTAAGGCGATTTCCTAAGTTATAAATCGCTGCAAAATGTCATTGGCTAAAGAAACTTTGACCATTATTTATTCTTCGATCCAATCAAACTAAGACCAGTGGTAATCTTAAATCCTGACCAATTCAATTTTTACATTTTTCTTTCGCCCTTGAGTTAATGTTGATCAGTACATAATTTTTGTTACTTCGTCTTATTTTCTCCGCTTACTAGAACTGATCGAGCCAACTGCTCTGCGTTGCAATTGAAAACACTCAAAAAAGCGGCACTTAACTTAGTACTAAAATGCACACAAAGTAAGTTAAAATAAACGGTGGATAGGGGCGCTAGGCCAACCAGGTAAGTAGGATATCTCGGAGTTTCTTTAATGCTCTTTGTCATAGCGGCCTGACTCTTGCGCGAACAACCATCGACTTTGCTGTAAAAGGAGGTTTTTTTCCCAACAGCGCTCTTATCTTCGCGCCCCAGAATCCGTGAAATTTTTGCTTTTGGAATCCGGAACCAGGGAAAATTTTTCTTTTGGAACCATGAATCCTGGGTTCTGGAATCGGAAATACAGCTTAAGGAATTCGGAATCTACTAACGATAAGAATACAGAATCCTAGTTCAAGTGACAAAGATTGAAATCCAGTACCAAGAATCCGGAATCCACGGCGTGGAATCGAGAGTCCAAAACTTTCTTGGATTTCCTTGCATGGAGGGAGCTCTTTTGTAAATACTAGTTCACATGACATCTATCTTTTCGAAAACATGCAATGCCATTATATTTTCAATGGTCGGTACCGTAAATCAATAACGAACACAAGTTACGATAAAGCAAAATACACATTACCAAATAGTCTTGGGAAAAACGAAGTCCAAACCAAATGAAATTTTTTTAAAAAAAATTGATGTCTCATTTCTTCGGAATTTAGGGGTGTCAAGGGTGTGGTAGTGTAGTGGGTACCGAGGTTAGCATACGAAAGGCCCGGGTTAAAATCCAGGACGTAAATTTCTTCCTATTTAATACAAATACTTTCAATTAAAGTTCAACAGTTTTTTAAATGTATTTGGAACCGCTTTTGTCGGCTTTTGTTTACCTGAGGGAAAATTGCGACTAGTGGTATAAGCTTTTACCATTTGATATTAGATAGAGGGTCAGCTTTCTCCGTTAGGAAATTTCAAACAAAATTTAATAAAATTGATTTATGTGAGTTTGCGTGAAGTAGCGGTATAATTAATAATAACTTTAGAGCGAGCACTTTTACTTTGTCTGTGGTATTAAAACTGAGGACGATAGACCAATTTCGATGTATTAAAATTTATTCTAGCTTGTCTCCAAGGCTCATTAGGGAAATCAAACAAAAGAATTCACCCTAAGGTTCAGCAATGAATAATACATTTCTTTTGTTTTATTCCTCTACGCCTCGTAGCCCAGTATGAATCTAAATCTAAATTGGCCAACTATGTTTTAATTCTGGACAAATTACAAAATGAGATGTCCGATCCTTCCCATGTACCGGATGTACAGAGCGCCTACCACAGCTTTGGCCCTGAGATAAGCTGGATAGCACCATCCACCTAATAAATCTCTGTCCAGTGGACAAGTATTAAAATAAACCGGCTATTGCGTTTTCTACTCTCCATACGTACAGAGGCGTTTCAACCGATGCTATCCACTCGGCATCAGATTTATTCAATTAATAAAAAGTGCACCCTGGGTACCACTGGTATGCATTAGTCAAATCCAGCTGCCCAGCCCCGCTCCACCCCCCGGGCTGACCCCCGGGCATTAGCATTTTTTTCGCCTTGGATGGCAATGCAAATTACCGGGGGTGGGGACTCTTGAGCTGTCAAATCCCCCGCGGTGGGGACGAAAAAAGAGGGCAAATGCCCCGTCCTTCGTCAACACTGCAACATTTTTCATTGTAGCACAGTCGAGTAGTGCCATTTTAAGCATTTTAATGAGCGATTTTTTTGTTTCATAGATCAATTAACGTCTTCCTTTGTACTAGTGCTATTCTAATTAAGACTTCACGCCGTGACGACACCAGTTTATGGTTTTAGTATCGTTATAAAATTTAATATTGACATTAAAATTAATAGTGGGCTGTAAAGTTAACTGTTATGAATAGTTTTATAAGTATGGAAAGATGTTCTTCAAATAATATCAACAGAAATTTGATTCAATAACCAAAAACACGTTGATTCACGCCGATAGCTCACGATTACGTTGTGTAATTCTGGCTTGATAAGCAATGAAGAAATGCATGCATAAAATCGAGAACATACCTTTACAAACCTCTTCAACTTTTTCCTGTCCGTGACAGATGAGCCAATCTGCTTGTTTTTCCATTAAAATCCTGTATGCAGTTATATTCTGATAGGAAACCGCGTGCGTGTCAAAAGTTCGGGGTTGGCAAATGTCCTGCCCCCGGGCAGCGCAAAATTTGCAAATGCCCCAGCCCCGAGACTGACAAGGGGGGGGGCAAATTCCCCACAGTAGCCGGGGGAGGGGGCGGGGCTGGGCGCAGCTGGAATTGACTGATGCATAACACTGAAGATGGGACAGTGTTCAGTGAGGTGGCTAACAGCCTGGGGGAGGGGCTTACGCAACGGGACAGTCCTCAGAGGCTGCCACGCCAGTGGTCTGAAGAAACGCCTGTGTCCTCCAGCCGGTGTGGACCAGATTAAGCCTGACCAGGAGCCAAAAGGCCTAATATTTCAGTTACTTGTCCCAGGTTATGGGTTCCTGGCCTGATCCGAGCGGCAAGTGGAAGGGAGTGCTCAGAAGGTTGAGTACATAGCGGAGGGATCAGGGATGTGATTGTGTAAGATGGAGTGTGTACTCTTCCATTCCATCGATCCTTGCGCCACTGATCAGGAGCCCATGATCCAGCTGGGAGTGGGAGGGGCGCTGATCTTAGGCTTTGCTCTCAATAACGTACAAACACTGTCTCCTTTTGGGCGGACACTTCTCCCACACGGATACTTTTTCTAGTCCTAAGTGTTAGCTTGCATGGGAGTTTCGACGGTATCAAATTTCTGGCACGCTTGCATGGCAGGCTTGAAGTCCGATTTGGTGCGTCAGTCGGCTCCTGATGGACCCTGATGCCGTTTAGACTTTTTGTGGGTAATCTGCTATATGTTGGAAGGGTATCGTTATATACTGGAGAGATCCTGATTTCTTCTGAATGCATAAACAGCAAACGTCTGTCTATCTCCGGCACACCAGGGATGCTTACCATTTGACAGAAAATTTCGGAAATTCCGGATGGAAGGTAAATGGTAAGACCACGTTTCGGAAATTCCAACCGAAAATTGAGGAGTACGTTTTGAGGTAGTCCTTTCATTCCAGTTGGTACGAACCCAATGGAATGTTGCTTACCATTAACTAATTTCTCGGTTCCTTCTCGGTTCCAGACTCACGCTACACAATTTCGCCCTTTTTTGGATTCAAACCGTAACGGATGTGACATTTCTACGGTAAACTGGTAAATCGCTTACCATTATGCTTTCGACCCCTCAACCGGATTTTTCTGTCAAATGGTAAGCACCCCTAGGAGACAATTGCTGCTCGCAGGCGTTCTTGGCCGTTAGACCGCAATTCAGTAAAACAGCAGGCTCCAACCACTGCTGATTAACGGCAATCTGTAAACGAGAGTCCAACCAAAACCAGTCGTCAAAAGAAAAAACACAAATCTTTAGGAGACTACAAAATGATCAGGGTATTGCTGTGGATCGGAATAGCAGGATCCGCCCTTCCATCCGGTAGGTGCTGTTGAGTAATAGCGATAATTAGGACATGTAAGGCAGGCATCGACAGGCACAAAAAAACCGGGTATTGGTGCGTGATAACTCGTGCCATGGCACAACATTAAATGTTTATATTTTTCCAGTCTGACAACTTTCACCGATCAGTGAACGAAGTCGAACAGTAATAGAGGCCTAATTTGAAATACACAACATATTTTCGATAAATTTCTATGGACCGTCATAAGCGAATTCCATTTCGTGAATTCATGTAATCGGGACCTTCAGGAATTATTGACTCTCCCAAGGCCGATATTGAATTTTTATCGACATGGACTTTTGAGATGATTTCAACTTTAATGATCCAGAAAATAGGTTCCGAATTCAAGAGCTACTTTATTAACTGAAAGGCTTTCTTCTCGGCTTTTTCTTACGTTTCTTATACCCTTACCATTTCATAAAACATGATCGCTATTCACTGATATCGAGTGCAAACGACGACTTGACCACTCGAACTTATACATATATCCTTTGTGAAACTGATAAATAGAAAATGTAGAAGGAATGACATTATAATCCAGCATAATCTTGTAAATTAAAATTTATACTGTTTGACTTATTGTATGAATCACGTAGAAGGGAATATTTCGAAAACTTAAAATATACCTCAAATTAAAGATTGCAGAGTTTCTTTTTTGCAGACAATATTATTTAATGTTCAAAAGGGACAAGATTATCTACATGCAAATTTTCCTTTAGACCGTGTGTGCATATATTAACGGAATTACCTTGTAACTAATTAAAATGATAAAGAGGTATATCTTTTAAAAGTAATTTGGTAGCCGATCTTTGAAGGTGAAGATGATGGCGTAGCTTATAGTGTAGAGATCCAGACGAAAATAGTCGCGACTATAATAGAAAAGTTATTTATTAACGGCATATTAACCAACATTCAATTTTCTTTAACAGAATCTTACTTGAAAGAGGCGATTACGAATTACGATTTGTCAATTACGAATTGTCGATGGTATCTATAACGTGGCGAGGGTTCAGATTTTAATCGGATGCAGAATTTTTATCGCCCTAAAGTTTGATGAAAATAATCTGCGATGCCATCGAGTTTTCCAGGACGTTTCGTTATAGTTGGACTTAGTGTTTTATGACGCCGGGCACTGATGTACTACCACGTTCGTTTCTCTTGAATAAAGAGAGTGATTATGAATAAGTGACCTAACTTCGTAAAATATTCACAGGCCCTGGCACTACGAGCCTCAGCGCTCCGGAAGTTAAGCTTGATAAACAAAATTTTTTTGGTTGCTAAGACGGTGCGGCTCGTTATGTTAGATTGGAGGGAACTAATACAGTTCTATTATGAAGCATACTTAGCCCTAACGAAGAAAAAAGGATCATCTAATAGTCACTTTTGTTAGACAAAGCTGATTTTAAATTATATTCATTTTAATTCAAACTCGTGATATTGACTGTCATTATCTTTTTTTTTAAATAATGTCTCGATATGTTTCGCAAGAAAACTAAGACGATCCACTACCGAACAGAAGAATACTCGCGATCGTATAACTGATGATGTTTTGATTCGATCTGAAATTAAAATGACAGTACAATGTATTCTAATTAACTAAATCAATTGGAAGCGGCTGATATAACCTTTTAGCAATCATTATGCCATGCGGTCACTGGTGGTCGTCAATATCCAAAAACTCATGAAATCCTTATAAAACTAACAAAACCAAAATGATTGACAACATTATAACATTGATCATAAACTTATTTCTATGGCGAGTTTTCTTAACTTTTCTTGATCGGGATAACCATGAGTGTAACAGGTAAGCAGTAAAACACATGAAAGACATGAAACATGCCCAATCATGTTCAGATATCGGGTAAAACTGAACTGCTTATTTTAATTAAAGTTGAGGTTTATTTACTATTGGAGTTTCCTGTTAGGCGTGTACGAGGCTACCGCAAATTCCTTAACTATGAATTCCTTGCATAGTCCAAAAAAACTACGTTAACACTCAATGAAGTTTCCTCTACGCGATTCGCTTCACTGCATGACCGACTGAAACCTAAGGAAACTGTACACAAACTACAACCATAGAATAGGCTGATTTAACAACAGGACGGAAACGTCAGTTGACGACGGGAAAGCGCGTGGAAAATACTAAACACGACTTCGGGTGTTCAATTTGCCGCTCTGCCATTGGTCAAGCCAGTTGTTTGATTTGCGCGCGCCGTCGTCAACACGTTCCCGTTCTGTTGCTAAATCAGCCTAATATTTGGGACCGAAGTGGGGAGTAGCGAATACCTTTTTCTCTTTCTTTCTCTTCTTTGCTGTTCTTGATTTGTTTGTATGATTCTTTCCCTTGTCATTTGCAGCTATCTTTTTTTTGTGAATTATAAGGAGATAGTCTGAAATGTCATTTGTGTCTTCACCCCACCCCCGAACGGGGCGAAGAGGAGAATGACTTTTCAGACTTAAAAGGAGATATCCAATAGATGGTTTTCACAGTGACGTCATCAAATTGTAAACTCAAAATAGCGAGGTTTTACGAATTCTTATGTACACTAGGTTGAAGATAAACAAAGAGTAAATCTTTGTACAAGTTTCCATTCCCGTAGCTTGTTTCATTTCGAAAATACAGCAATTTGAACTTCCGAGTTTTCACAGTACGTGACACCAAAATGAATAGGAATGCTGTCTTGTTGAAAAAAGTCTCTCCCCTTGATTTTCAGCGGTATAACCATTTCAAGGTATGTTTTTGCGCACGTATGCTAGTTCTCGACTGAAAAGAAAGGGCTTTTATAGAAAAAGTGAACCCCACATGTTTTTGTTAATTCCAGGCGGCCATATTGGTGCATCAAAACGGTGCACCAATATGGCGTCTCCATACAAAGCTCTACAAAGGTGCGTGAAACGTTTCGGCAAATAACTTAGAAACTATGAGCCACAAAGACCTGAGTCTTTTTTAATTATAACATTTCATTTTCTTGGCTTCTTCCACTGGAAGGTTTCCAATTTATTATTTTGTTACGGTGAAAACGATCTATTCACTTTACTTCACTCAGCTTTACTTTCCCGATTTACCCACCTCAGTTTACCAGATTCTTGCAAAGTTATAACCCTTACCAGTATAAAAAAAAAGTTTGGAGCCCCGTGGGAGGCGTAAAAATATTTACCAGCGACTGGAAAGAACCGTTTATGAAAAGTAACAAAAGAAACATGCACTGTTAGGTCGAAAATAAAGTTGTTTTTTTTCTTGGCAATGTCACATGCTTTCTTTCAGAGTATGGGAATCATCCCGGCTCATCTATCGTCCATTATTGTCATCGGTTAATTATTTGTAAATTTTTGTAAAAACAATTTTTTTTTTTTTGGGGGGGGGGACAAAAAATCTCACTAGTAAAGAGACTATTTCATAAGAAAAATGCAAAAGAACATACCGTATTTATTCGAATAAGCGCCCAACCTCGGATTAGCGCCCACCTCGAATAAGCGCCCATCCTAAAGGTAGAAAAAGTTAATAAGCGCCCAGCCTCGAATAAGCGCCCACCCCCTCCCCTTCTCAATCAAACTCAAATAAGCGTTCACCCCCACCCCACCCACTTGAGCGAATAAATTCTAATAAGAGACGTCCCAGAGGACGGAATTTTCGTCAGAATATTTTACAGAAACCTTGCTTTGTTACTTCTTCGCGTTTTGTCATTAGCATTTATTGTTTTGTTGCAAAATAAACATACTTCACTTTCTGAAAATGGTGAAAATTTGATAAGCGCCCAGCCTCGAATAAGCGCCCACCTCGAATAAGCGCCCACTCTCAAGGTCCAAAAATTTAATAAGCGCCCAGGGCGGTTAATCGAATAAATGCGGTACTCAAAAAGGATGAAAACTCCGTTTTTTCTCTACAGCCACCTCAATCAACTGTTTCAAATGCTATTCAAGGATCTCCATGGAAGACTGCATGAAGTTCCAGAAATTAACTCCCTGCCCAAAAAATACGGTACACTGCCGAAACATGACGGTTGGAGTCCACGTTAAGCTGCTCAACAACGAGTATTTGATCGGCTACGAAAGAGGCTGTGCAACGCAAGACCAGTGTCTTCGCAAAAGATGCACTGGTAATTTTGGCGAGCAGTTAGGAGTAGAGAAAGGCACGTACGAATCATGTGAGATAAGTTGCTGTAAGGGAAATTTGTGCCCTGAAGGAAATGCTACTGATAGTGCCCAGGCCGCTCCGGTGGCAGGGGCTCGCAGCGGATCTGCAACTGTTCAATGGAGTTCCCTTGTAACACTGGGGATATTGATCATTGCTGTTGGTACGGTTTTCTTGATAAACCATAGTTAAAGGCCGCGGACTTGTGACACTATGAAAACTTTGAAGTAATATAATACTTGATATGCCAAGTTGAGGAGAAATATCTTTTGAGGTGAAATTGCATTGATCTCTTCTTGCAATCGAACATTTTCTACGTAACTTTTCATACGGATGATCAAGTATTGACTGTCTAGGCGATCCAGGCCATTATTTGAAACTAGGCTTATAACGTCAACTTTTTTGGTTTGCATAAAGCCTTGGGACATAAGGACCTGCATCACATCAGTTAGCTTGCCACCAATTATATGCTCACCGTTAATTTAAAGTGTTAAGATCAAAACTCATTTGGCAAACGTATCAAGTCAATTTAGGCGTTTAACAAAGGTTACTTAGATTGTTAGCCAATGAGTTAGTTCATCATTTGTAAGTGGTTAATTATGTCGAGTTCTGACCCGACATTTAGACGGCCGCCGGCACAATAGTTTCGCTCGTTCCTTGCCCAGGCACATCAACGAATCAGCCCAGGGATGACCTTTTAAAAGAAGATCCTAACCCTCAAAAAGGAAAATTGTCTAGTAATCCTGAATTAAGTAAAAGAAGGATGAGTCAATTTTTATTTATTAATGTTTCTTAATATGTAAACATTTTCAAGAGCGAGTGAGACAACTTGATTTGATTTAAGTCCTCAAGACGCGAAAGTTTTGAGATTTTTCAGTATGGACTACAGTTCCCCCAAGTTGTAAATGTAATGGAGTGCAGATTACTCAAGTCCTTTTTAACAATCATTACTTAGGTATCTTTTTACAGACTACCTTTTGTACATAATTTACTGTCACAAAAAAATTTTTGTTTGCCGGTTTGCACATTCCTTTGCGTACTGAAGCCGTGTTTTAGCTAACTGAAAGCTTTAGGAAAGACAACGTCAAAAAAGTAAGTTTTAAAAGCAAGGCATCCGTTTTGAACATGTGGCATTTCTTTGCGGTCACTGCACAACCACAACGTAAGATTTGGTTTTGTGGCGGACATAAACCCACGTTCTCTTTTTAACCGGCGTGGTTCCCAATAATTCAACTCCACGGAAATTCACCCAAATTTGACATAAACGCAACAAGGTTTAAAAAAACGCGATTTTTTTTTTTTCAAAAAAAGACGTCTTCGCTGTCTTTGCTGTCGTCTGTACTAAAACTCTCTAATATTTCGTTAAGTGAGAATGTGAATGATATTTAACCTACTCCCATGAAGATCATTTTACCACTGAATATACACTATACAATCTGTACTCACGTCTATTTTGAAAAAAAACTGTCATCAAATTGTATTGGCATTTGGCTAAAAAGGTCAACTCCCTTTAAAATAAAACGATGGTTCCAAATGCTGTTCTGCGGTTACCTTCATTGACTCACTATAAGATTAAAGTTTACTTGATTTGGCAGTGTTTGCTTACGGCGGGGTTATATCTTACAGTAGCCTGCGAATTTAGCCGCCTCTCTATGGTCTCATCGTTCTCCGTCGCTGGGATGGTTTCTCGAGACGTCCTTCGAGACGGAGAACGAAAAGTGGCTGCTATTTCCGCAATGAGACGACTAACGCGACCGAATCAAGTAACTTTAAACTAGTATCCTATAATTTTTAAACCCTTGCGTTGTTAGATTTAGATCAGCTGATTATGAATTTCTGACTAAAACTGAACGGACGAAATGCAAGAATTTGCAAAACATGTTGCACAGTAAATGTTATTTACTTTTTGAGGAGTATCTGTAAGAAAAGACATCAACTGTTTATACCCTGAGACCAAAGCCAAAGTCTACGAGGAAGTAAGATTGTTAAGAACTTAGAAACATTATGAATTTAACTGCATAATTCTTCACCAATCACACTACTCAGCCTCATTCAATAGTTGTTAAGTGTATTTATCATGGGTTGTGTAACCCTGTCTTTGAACTGTTACATGGTATGCTGTTACCATTGCTTCATTAGCGGTAGGCTATATATATATTGGAGTTGTTGTCATTCTCTCTTGTTTATATTCATTTGCGTCTTACGACTGTCCCTACAACCTCAAAATTAAATACGAAGTGGCTAGGGGTTATCACAGAGGCGGACCCAGGATTTTTTTAGGAGGGCGTGCACTCATCTCTTGCTCTACTTCAACACCAATAAACCACATAGTTTTTTTTTTTTGGAGAATACCAGTTGTATTAGAAAACAGGTCATCTCAGGGGGGAGGGGGTGCGCACCCCCTGCACCCTCCCCCTAGATCCGCCCCTGTATCAGTTTCTCTTAGACGTAGTTTTTGCATGCTGCTATTTGAAAGGTTTAGCACGTTTACGGTATTGTTATAAGAGCATAGTTTAGATCGTTTTGTAGGGTGGTAGTTTTGCTGTATTTTTTACATTTCCGAGTTTTCATTCTGTTTGTTGTATCATTCCAACCATTTTGTTGATAAAGTGATAATAAAGAGGGTCGCTCACGGCTCGTGTTGACACGCCGCAATTGTGGTTGCTTATTACATGATAAATGTTTTATATTCGTTTGAGCGGGGTTGCCAATTACAATATAATTATTATTACTTGCTTGCAGTTCTCACGAGTACGTCAATAGCAAAAATTAAACTACTCTCCAAGTATAGTATAGTATACTCTCCAAGTATAGTATATAGTTAAAGGCAGCAATTCTGAATCAACTAGTTAACAACGGATTACCAACTGAACTGTCATTTGTCCTCTGTTCTATGAGGACGCAGCTCTGCATGCTCTGTAAACTCAATGTCTTCGGACCTGTGAAGGCGACCATCACTGACCAGGTTATGAAATCAGCTGAAATCATAGGTGCTGCAGCTTAAGCCATTTATAAATTGCAAAACAAATTATTGGGAGCCATACAGACCAACTACTGAGCTTAGTCGCGTCACTGCTTTCGTTTACAGATCCTGGTCCAGTCCCTCCTTCAGACCCAGACCCTACATCCCCACCACTGCCCCCATTGCGTTCGTTATACTTCTTAATGTCATCATCGTTGGGCACAGGAAAGTTCTCAGCACAAGCTTCCTTTCGTGGATCACAACAATCCACTTGGCACTCCTTGGCTGTTACATCATCTGGCCAGAAATTTGGGCACTCGTTTAAATAGCATTGTCGTGAAGTTCCGCAGTGCACGCCATGTACTTCGACAAATGGTGACACCAGGTTATCGCCCATCATCTGCGGTAGTTTATAATGAGCTGTGTACTTTATACAAGCCGGCAAGTCAGATGAATTAGTTGTGCATTTCCGCACATGCAAGTTACCGGGCTCTCGACTGAGGCATTTACTCGAGTCATCTTTGTTAAAGCCAAAGCAGGAAAAGCAGTAAAGTTCGGAACCTAACACTGAAACAAAACACACAAAAGAGTTTTTTTTATCCTATAGCCTGCGCCACAGACGGATCTAAACTTCTACCTTATTTCGGCTGCGAAACAGCGCCAAAATCCTTGTTCTGAGCCCTTACTTGTGTACCAGGATTTGAGTACGTACCGTGATTGGCCCGTTAGAAAATCCATCGTCGATTTGCCAATCAGGTTGAAGGGAAATTCAAAACGCATTTCCGGTAATTCGTTGAGTCCATTGGGGGACCAGAATAAGGATCTCGGCGCTGATTTGCAGACGTTGCTAGCTGGGATTAGATTTCGTCCACGACGAAGGCTATTTGATCGAAGGAGCAGGTAGCCTAAGAGCAAGCTCCTTTGGGAGCTCTTGGTCCATTTTCAGTCTTCCGTACTTAGCCCCCATAGCCCCGCAGACAGCTTGCATGCTAGGAAAATACTGACATACACACTGACATTCTTATCGGTAAAATCACGTTTCTCCTTTGTTAAAACACAGCCCGCCTCGGGAAATACTACCAGCAATTCTAGGGAGACAGAAGATAAAAACTGCTATTTCCCTTTGGATCAGTTAGTTATTTAGTGTGAAGTGTCGCGGACTCAAAAATGGCGCGAACAAAATTGAGCAAACTTCGCCACGTAATGATACGTTGTTTTAAAATCATGTCGCAACAGGTTCTCTGTTTTGGTTAATAATTTTGGTACAGCTTACGAAACGAGACGACTCGATCGGTGCCTTATCAAGTGTTTGACATCATTATTATTAAAGCCAGTTATAGACTGACAGTCTATAACTGCACAGGATCAGCACGTGTGCAACTCGTGACCATTTATACCACTCAACTTACAGTGTCATTGGTGCAACTATTCAGAAACTTCTTTCTTTCACTTCAATCGAAAAAAATTTCGCCGTCAATACTAAAATTACAGCCAGCTTTTTAAAAATATCTAACTTATAAACAAAAAATCATTGACATGCATATGATAAGAGGAAGAAACGCTACTGTACAACTGTAAAAACTTATTCCAGCCTTTTTTTAATGGACTCCAACAGACTCCAAACACTGTAATGATCCGTCCATTATTAATATATTGTTTTTCTGCTTCGAAAAGTCACTCAATATTTTCATGTTTAATTTTGGTCTTGATAACGAGGGTTCAGTCTCACAGATCGCTGCAGTCTTGGCCCAGGCCTCCCATAGACATAAAACTTTTGACAAGTCCCTACCACCACCCCTACATTTTTACATTTTTTTAGAGAATGAACCGACACTAAACAAAACAGGCCTCTTGAGTGCAAGTAGACCACGACCGTACGACGACGGCAACCAGAAAGTCAAAACTCCAATTGGATTTATGAGTTAAAAAAAAGCAAAGCAAGTTTTTTACACTTTTGAAACATTTCTTTGACGACTACTTTACGACTACGACATTAAACTTTAGATACAACGTTTTTATGGAGGACGTGTGAACAAGATGAACTTGGATATGAACGCTATTTTCATTTAAGAATTCAACTAGCTCCATGCTTTAACCTTTCAAAGAATTCCGTTTGAATAATAAAGGCTTAGAGGCTTCTAGTTAGTGATTTACCGGCAAGAAAAGGGACTTGTTGTTTCTAGAATGACTTCCACATTTTTCACTGCCCGCGCAGCTACGCCTCATTTGGTACTGGAATTTCTAGTTTTTTCTACAGATTCTAGAGTAATGGTGCAATTTTATTTGCCAGTGAATCACTCTCTCATGCGGTCAGTCTAAGCCGGCTTAATTTACACATGTTAAAGATGACTATAGTATATATGCACGCAAACACACAACAATTCTTCAACATTTTAGTCACTATGAAATTACGATACAGCCAGATGTCTCGAGGCCATCACACGATGCATTGAAGAGCATTATAGACAAAGAAAATTCACTTGTATTGTGGCTGTTTGTGCTTGCGTGGGATTGAGTCATCCTAGGACTTGTTTTCTAGAGTGCAAAACAGAAGAACATACCGCCGGGTTAACAACGTTCAACGGATTCAGTGGCGATATTCTTGACTAGAAACGTCCCTTGATATGGGAAGATCTGCAGCTCAATGGTCAATAGTCAAATGATACGACTAATGTTTATTATGTTATTAATTCCGCCTAAGTTGTCAAATTAATTTTCCCGGTCGATTGTTATCTCAAAGTCATGCATGCATCCTGTTTGATAAGACATCGAAAGATGCTCAAGGGAGGGGTGTCGTTCCTTTGCTTTCACCAATACATACTAATGGATGCAGTGTTCAAAGCAAACTCGAGTTACAATAAAGTTTGCAACTAAAAAAAGAAATTAAAAACAACTACAAAATTGGACAATAAACGATTTACGCTTGAACATAGACTGAGCATGATACGGTCTTTCAGAGTTGCTGATTTTCAAATATGTACTCAATATAAACTAGCCAAACTTTACATAAAATCTTACACTGCGAAAAAATAGGCAGAACTTTGCAAACTTTATCATTGAGATTCAATGGACGGAAAAATTGAAACCATGTTGTTCTTTATAACTCTGGGCGGCCGACCGAGAGTACAACACTTAAGTATATCAGGTATATAACAACGCAAATACCGCCTCTAGGAAACAAAATCTTTTGCACTATTGAACAAATTCACTGTTTGTGCGGTCGGAAGGTAGTATTCTACTATAGGGTCCACGAAAGTAGAAACATTTTTGCTCCTTTTGTCTAACACGGTCAAGATGGGTTTAATTTATTTGAAAGACTTGTTGTGTGTCATCTTTAGACATCTAATATCAACATAGCGGTTGCCTGTCATTTGACAACTCATTCGATTATGAACGACTTGTTTTTTCCCATTTAACATTTGATATACATGTATCGTTTCAAAAATGTAAGTAATGCGTAAAACAATCTTTATTTTTATTTACTGATGGACCTCAGACTAAGCTGAAAACCTGACGATGAGTGTAGAAAACTCTCGAATAATAAGATCTATTTCAGTATCGTTGTGCTTCCACTACTGATGGATCACCCAATTCCAAATAGTAAATTAACGTTTTTTAGTATAAACCTACCAAAAACGTTCTAAGACTAGCTATTGTTGCTCGATAAAGTTTCGTTTTTCTCTTGCATTTAAATGAAGCAGGGTTAGCTTTTTTCTTAAATATTCATCACTTTTAATACCGAAGGTGTAAAAACTGGCATAAACTGGATGCTTACTTCGGCCGCAGAAATGACGGTGTTATCACCAAAATACGACTGAGATGGGAAAAAAATATGTTAGATACCTTAATCAACCGTATCTACATAAAGCCAGAATAATTAAGGTGTTGAAGCATTGATTTCGAATTTGCGTGTCGACTAGTTACAAATCTTTGCAGTGCTTTTCAAATAAAAAAAAAAACTGAAACAGGATAGTGGATAGGTAATTCTTATTAAAACTGTTAGATTTTAAATAATTTAGTAATAATGTGCTGTGCTTCACGTCGCTTGTTCAAAAAATGTATCTGCGCATCGAGAACTTGCACGAAACTAGTCGATTGCTTTCGAAGCATTGAAGCATTGCAACTCTAACATCACTGCCTAAAAACACCCCATAAAAAAAACCTCAACACAATTCAATTAAATTCTTACCATGACTAACAACACACATCAAAGCGAATATCGCAGAGGAAACCGCTGTTGCTGTGCTTGATCTCATCTTGTTGCCCATGCAACGCTTTTCAACCTCTCGACTCTGGGTAAAATTTGGACTGTCTGCTGCAGATGCTAGAGCTGCGGAGTGGGGTATAAGGTCCCTGTTGTGACTGGTAGGTTCACGTGCCGAACATTTTGTTTGTTACTGTGACGTCACCTTTTGTCAAGGGAACCAAAGTCGATGCGATTGGAGAGCTTAGTAAACAACACTCAAGGCAACAAAAGCGGAAGGAAATATATGCGAGAAAATTAATATCAATAAAGAGAATTTAGCATTCTAAAAAATTGGAATATTCGGTTGAACAATGCAATAGTAAAGCTTTTGCTGGTCCTTGGACTGTAATTCCCGTTTAGTAGTCACTGGAGACCATTTGCAGCTCACAGGTGCATGGCCCAGACTCCACATAAGCCGTGGAACTGACCCTCAAAAAACTTCATAACAAAATGTAAGGGAATAAGCAAAATATGTTCTTAACCTTTAAACCCTAAGAGTGATCAGCATCAACCGAGTGGTCAGGAGAATTGAGAATTAGAGATATGATCACATATGATGAATTTGCTTGATATTTGAATCAACTTCTCCCCACTACGCCTGTGGGAAACGAATAGGGGCAAAAAATGAGAATTCACATTTTAATCTTAGGGTTTAAAGGTTAACGATTTTTTATAAGGATTAGAAATAGATACGACTTAGAGTTTTAAACTTAGAGTCGTGTTTTCAGCGAAACCATGATATACTACACGTACAAAGTAAGTTATAGTTATTTCCAGTCGTTTAAAAAGAGATAACGATATTGTTTAGTTTATTCCAGTTCTTTCTGGCATAAAAATTCAAATTTATTCCAACAGCTCGAGTAGGTTCTGGGCTGAAAGTGATGGCTGTCCATTTTGGCACGGTGCTTTCAGGTTACAAAAATGAAATTTCGATAATAAAAGCAACTGGTTACAGCTCGTTTAGCTCTGAATGTTACTTAGTGAGTAGTACGCCTAAGTGGGACATTCTAATTTTCTTGACTTGTTTATTCTTACAAGTGGAAAACTGTGCATCAGTATTGAACCTTTTTTGAGTGACCTCCCTTCCTTAAGCGGCTTTTTTACGAGCTTGAGTGCGTGGTCCCTTTTGTTCGTGTGCACGGATTCGTTCAACAGGAACGACCCCCGAACGTTTAAAACCTCACTCAACCACAACGAGCTTAATTCTCACGATCATGAACAAAGAAATCAATGGAACGGTGGGCTTAACCTCGCAAAGGTTCTCATACGAACGAAAAGTGAAGGTGTCAGTGTTGAATTGCAAGGATTTAAAGCCGCCGGAAAAATTCAAAGCACGCGTAACAACTCAAAATCTCGGAAATTCGAAACTAAACTATTTTTCTGATTAGTACTAATCAAGAGAAAGGATTTTAAAAGGATTATTTTGCTTAGGATTGCTTTAAGCAGCTGTTAGCACAAGATTCATTTCATCTTGTTAACACAAAGCAATCTTGTTTGACAAGAGGAAACAAAAACGTCGAGGCCATGTTATCTTTAAATCTTATGTTTGTTTCCATTCCCTGAACAGTCAAGGCAATGAAGGTGTAAGTCTTAAGAAGAAAGTAGTTTTTCCCCTTCTATTGACCTAAATAATTCCCACGTTAAATTTCGATAAACCACAAAACAAAAAAAGACTGAAAGAAAATACCGACAAAAAGGATTGAGTAGTGTTGGATTTGGAACATGTCGTCCCCGGCCTCCTTTTGTAAATAACAACGCAAGGTTTACTCTTTTTCTTCCAAAACATTTAAGAAGTTGTAATCTAAACGAAACTTCTTTAGCAGTACCGATTTTCTTGGTAGTACTTGCTTCTACAAATTTAACAAATAACCTATAATTCTTTTATATTTTAAAGAGTTTTTTGGCACTATTCGGTGTTTGAGAGTTTATGCAAGTTTAAGCTTTTCCTTCCCTTAGCGTCTGAGGTTTCAAAACTTTGAAAGAGTCAACTTTTCCTTGGAAAATTTTTATTGCAGCCAGCAACTTTCTTGCAGACAAATATTTACAACCAATAAATAATTTAAAGTTCTCTTGGCGTATGACCGTGTACAGTGAGTTTCTCAGTTGACTAGAGTCTAAACAACCTTCACTTGCTTTTCGACAATAACATTTTGTTCTGCTCTAATGCCACTTCCCGCGGATTCTTCTCATTATTCATCCCTTGTTTATGTCCAGTGAAACAAAGAAGACAACTTAAGCAAACAGCACATTGCTTAATTGTTTGCCTTAAGATGATGCTTTCTTTTGTCAATAAATAATAACTGAGATTTAACTGAGAGTGAAGCCACTGTCAAGTTTAAGAAAATTGTGAAACACCTTTGTGTACTTCACAACGAAATGTGCCCTTGTTCAAACTCGTTAAATGAACAACATTCTTGTTCCTTGTGTATGTGCGGTTCTGCCGAACGTTTAATCCTATAATTCGCAGGAAAAACCTTGTTCAAACCTATTACACTCCATACGCTAGAGATAAAGTACGATACATTCACTAGTGTCTTTTAAAGATCTCCGTGTACGTGTGGGTGGAAGCCGTGATTACTTAGCTCTCCATACGTTGACAAACTTAATACACCAACTCGTGTAAACAAAGCTCAAGTGTTAAGGTCAAACAACGAGATGCTCTGCACCAATTTTCATGTTGAAGCCACTTATCACGCGGAAATACAGGAATCTGTGGGGAGAGTGCTCGGCCAAACCTTCATAAGCCGGGTGCAAAGATTGATTAGAGACTGCAACACGGCCAATTTTTTAGTCACGTTTTTTGCACACGCTTCGCTCTAACATCAACTCGCGGCTTAGACGGTAAACTCGAAGTGGACGTCACTCTTTTGTCACGTGTTAACACCCTGCTAATTTTTTCTACGGGTGGTCGACTGCGCATGTCAGGTACAGAAGCGCTGACTGGTGAAATGATAGCGTCCTTATCTTGTAATGTGCGGCGTGTCGGAATAACACTATTACTGTCTTTGGAACCACTTGATTCTCTCCTTGATACATGAATCACAGTAGGCAGTTCACTATACTGATCTGATTCACAAGATTTGATAGAAAAGGCTGGCGATGGCGCACTCCTCTTGTAAGAGGCCAGCGGTTTCTGCTTGAAAGCATGCTCAGATGGAGCATACATGATATAAGTCCGTTGCCTTTCTCTGTCAGTCGAAGTCTCTGTTGTATTTTTCTTTGATTCCGAGTGATTAACTGTCTTATGCTCCAGAACAGGGCTTGACATGTGACAATCCTTCATTTCTGGAGGCGAATCTTTTGAGCTGGTAGATTCTGTCTCTTGAGAGGGTGAATTTTCCAAGTCTCTCTCCGGAGTGAAATATTTGCCGCTGAAATCAAAGGCATCCTTATCTGTTACAGTTAACTGCTCTCCAAAAACAGGAGTGAATTCTCTTTCCTTTCCCACAATGGGGCCTGTATCGCTAGCCCCGTCAGGACCACTGTCACGTGGTCTACCGTGAATCCTTCCGATGGATGGTGAACGAGGTTCCCGAGCTTCCCGTTGGCTGGAGTCGAGTAACACTTTAAATACACCAGAACGAGGCGATTGGGTGTCATCAAGGACTTCCGGTTGGTGAGGCACCTGTCCTAAAGGAGACAAGAGGTTTTTTATCCAAAGCCTAGAGTAGCTTTTCCGGTTTTTTTTTTTTAGTTTTGGGAACAAAAACTGAACAAGAAGTGTCTCGGGGAGGGAGGGAGTGTAGAGTTCGTCCTTGAAGGTTACGACAAAAACTGAGGCATTCTTAAGGACGAGATGATGCTAATATACAGAGAGAGAAGACTTTTTCTTTAGCTAAAAGCCGTCAGCAAGGTAAGCCTCAATGAAAATAACAAAAAAATTACTCATTTTGTCTCGACATTTTAATATATCAATCAAGAACACACGTCACAACAATTTACAAAATAAAAATCGACGACAGACTATCCCCTAAGATATTCTTCAATTTAATATTTGAGAAAGATAATAATAATAAAAATAACCAAGTAAGGAGTACTCACCAACAGCTTCTTTGTTCGGACTAAGCGTCCTCAAAGCTACCGCCATTCTGTTTAATTTCTCCTCAGTACTGCTAGGCGCAGTGTTTCCTTCCAATGCAACGCGATCTTCTTCAAGAAGCTGTTTGAGACACTGAAGGTAGTACTTACGAAGCTTCTTGGCCGTGGAATGGCGCTCTTTCAGCACTTCACCTCTACAATAAAGGACAGTATTTCAAACAAATTGACGGCAATGTTCAACGATAGATGATTCCTTTTTTATAACCTTACCTGATCTTTTTAGCTGCACTAGCCTTGGTCTGGGTCACGTGATTCAGCACGTCATCACGTATCGTAGCAATTGTGTCTAGGTAGTACTGACGTAGTTCCTGGAGACCACGCGTGGTTGACACGTTATCAACACTGCTAAAACTTGTGTCGCTACCGCTGTCCAGTTGCAATGCAGCCTAAAAGAAGGAAAAAGTAGTTGGCAAGTCAAACAACGATGGACCAATATTACCAACGTTAGCAAGCCATAATCACTTTTGACAGCGCCCTGTAAATCATGTAACTCGCGACGAACTACTGTCTTCTTCTACAAAATAGAAAAACAATCGCTAGTGGGAAAAAAGTGCACAGAATTTAGTTGTTGGCCACAAAACCAGGATAAACTAATAGCCCATTTCCGAGTTGCTCCAAGCCTCTGTTTCAAAGTGAGGGTAAGGGCGAAATGTTTGGTATGAAAATAACTTTAATTCTTTCTTAAATAAACCTCGTTTTCTCAAAAAAAAAAAACCTCGTTTCGAGAGTGAGTTTTAGTAACTCGGACAATATGACCTATTATAAGCCCGAAAACTAAACTAGGCATAACCTGTACAAATTAAAGAGTACAGTATGCCCTAATAACGCATGGGGGAATATTTGACTGTCGTAACGCTCAGCAAAGGGCACAAGAAGAGCAAACTTACAGTTACGTTTGACCTCCAACAGTTTAACAATGAGAACTCTTTTAAACCTAAATTACCTGTGAAGCATCGTTCCTGGAATCTCGCCGTTTCGAACTGTACTGCGTTTTCTTCTTCTCTTCAAGCAATTCCCTCTTAAGTTTATCTGTGGTTGTACTGTACTCCTTCTTTACCGTGGCCAGCTCACGTTTCAGTTTCTCGAGGGCGGATTGATTTTCTCGTCTCTCCTTTGTCCACAGCTCTTGCTGTCTCTTCACTTCTTCGCCTTGTTTGCTAGATTCTTGCCTCTGTTGCTTTTCCCATTCACATCTGGCGGTTTCTAGGGCTTGTCTTACTTTCTGTTCATGTTGTTTCTCCAGTTGAACCCTGCAAAAAATACCGGCAGATGTCGGCAGATGACAGCAACTCGTAAATTTGACAATGTAAACTGCGCTTGTAAGCTCCAACACTTATGTGAAACTGCCCACCTACCCCTCCCCTAACCCGACATTTTGCCCTAAGTGAGAATTAAGTGTTAATGCTGACTTAGGGGAGGGGAAGGTGGACAGTTTCCCAGAAACCTTAATTGATACGCTTTTTCTACTCCGGTTATAACCCCCTCGGATATAAGCCCCTCCGTTTATAAGCCCTCCTATAACCCCCTTAAAAAGGTGTATAAGCCGAGTACTCATAAGCGGCAGTTTTTCCCTTCATTTATATGTAAAAAAAGCAAAAAAAAACAAATCAATAAACATTAAAAATCAATCTGTAGGGCGGACACTTCTCTCAGAGGGACAATTAGTATACGAGAAAACAAATTGGATTCTTAATCAGATGTAGCCAGATGCACTCCACGGGGTGCCAGCATCTGCAAAAATACCAGACAGCTGAGAAATTAGGTTAAATTTCAACCCACGAAACTACTAGAAATCATCCAAAATTTACTAATTGATGATAGATGAAAATCCACTATCCCATCAATACCCCCTCTAAACTCACAACAAACGTGGTGGGGGTAAATGGCATTAAAAAAGAGAGAAAAAAAAACATGGCCAAAGAAATGCAACCTTGTCCCCAGGGCGCTTTTCACTGGCTTTGAAGGTGGGCCAGGAGGAAAGCGCCCTAGGGACGAGGTTAAAGACACGCGGATTCACTCGAGTTACCTCGCATCCTGTTGCTCTTGTTTCCAGCCATTTCTCACTTTCTGAAGCTCGTTGTTCATCTTCGTTCCCACGTCTCTCTCGATCTGTACACGTTGTTCTTTTAGCTTCGAGTTGTATTCACTGCGCATGCGTTCCAGTTGGTTCTGATACTCTTGAACCAAGCGAGTCTTCTCTGCTTGCCATTTATCACGAGTTGCCTCTTCCGCCTATGAAGCAAATGACTAAAGTTAGCCATATGAAAATATAAAATAAATGACTGAATGTCCAGTACAGAAATGCACGACCTCAACTCCTCGACAATCAGTAAAGAAACTCGCCTTCATCTTTCTAAGTTCTTCTCTTAAATTTACGTTTTCCTTCGTAGACTTTCCCTCGGCTTCTCTTAATGTGTCCTCAACAAGTTTCCGTTTATCTTCCTCGTGTTCGGCCTGAAGTTTCTTTCGTACTCTTTCCTCTAATTCTCTAGTTCGCTGCCCCAGCTCATCTTCATTGTTAGTTGCCAAAGCGCGGTCAGTCTCATCCTTTGTAGACTGGGCTACCTCTCTGCGCCAGTCCTCTCGCGCAGCTGCCAGACGAGCCTAGAAAAAAAGAAAACGACTTTAACATTTGCTGCATGGGCATATTTTGAAAAGAAACGAGACAAAAAGCACAAAAAACAAAAACCTGACGAAAATAAGAACCAAGCAATCAAGAGCCAACAGATTTCTTTACAGGGTAAATATCAAGAAAACTGCAACAGTATAACATTTTACGTTGTAAAATACTTTTGACAGAGAAAGGTTTTTATAAACTACACCTAAATTATGAAGCAAAATTATCATCGTAACGAGCACAATGGTGGCATAGAGCAGAAGTTCGAACTTACATCGCGAACTTTTTTTCAACCAGTAAACTACGGAAAATATGAGCTTAAAGCAACAGGATCTGCAAATCCCTACGGCAAAGATTTCATAACCTATCCAAATTGCTTGAGTGTGTTAGGACTTTCACGAAACAAACTTCTGTGAAGTCTTAACAAGTCGCATCGTACCAAAAGGCAATCGCTTGCCGGTTCAGACGGTGAGGAGGTACTTTGAATGAGATGAGAAAGAGCGCTAAGGGCAAGTAACAATACATACAAAGCAAACATAGCAAGTTTCCTTTTTACCTTAACAATCTCCTCTCGGCGTGAAAGTTCTTCTGCAGTCCACTGTTGTCTCGCTTTTTCAAGAGCTTCCCTTAACTCAGTGTTTTTAAATTCTTCCATCCTCTTAGTGTACTCGGACTCAAGGTACGCCATGGCCTCGTTCACTTCCTCTCGCTTCAGTTCCTCAGATTCTTCCATCCAAGCCTCCTTTGCTTCCTCCAATGTTTCCAGAATTTCCACTTTCTTTTGCGCCTCGAATTCCCTAAAGATTTCTTCCCTTAGCGTTTCCACGGAAGATCGCTTCTCCCACTGCAACTATTAGAAAACAAAACTCTCAATAGCTGCAGTTTTGGAAACGTTTGTTTCATTTTCAAATGCAGGACTCGGCATCTGAAGGTTGTGCCTTACATTGCACCTATCAAAGTTGCTAAATAATTTTGCAAAATACACACCTTACAGATGTCAAAATCAAAGGCTCAAACAAGGTAGTAGATCAAGTAAATTCCATTAGTTCGGCCGATAAGTTCGAATTCAGCCGCTCTCTCGGGGAGCGGCTCGTTTCCCGAAAAGCGGCTGGTAATGGAGCCTAGTCCAAAGCAAAGTGAGCTTAAGCAAACACATTTCTGAGCGACGCACGTCAACCGGAAAACAATGGTCTTTTTTCAATTTTGGACGGTGGTTTTGCCCAAATTTTTGCACAAATCGTCTCTATAATAGTAAAAACACTTAGAAATATAAATTTGATAACGTCAAGGTGCTTTAAAATGAAAAAGACCTCACTTCCGGTTGACATGCGTCGCTCCAAAAGGCCTTTGCTGAAGCTCCCTGATGAAGAATGTAGAGAACCGCCGCTGCTTGGACTCCAAAAAAGAAGGTATCGATTAAGGATCTCGCCCTCTCCTCGATGGAAATGAACGGCGGACTGGAGGCGGCGCTTTGCCTGCAAAACCTCTATTAGAAGCTACCTCGCCCCAAAGGTAACTTTGGTTTGTGCCGGTGGACGGTTCGTCTTATATTATTCTAACCTCTCTGGACATGTACCCCTACCCCCAAACAAGCCTTTGGAGAGAGGTTCGACTTTAATTATTAACCACAAGTTTCAAAATGCTGGTGACACTCTACAAACACTTAGACTGATTAATCTTACCCTCGCCTTGGCAACAGCCTTCTCCACAGCCTCCTTCTTTTGTTCCTCGAACTGCTTCATGAGCTGAGCGTTGGTGGCTTCTAATGCGACGTTAATTTCGTCTCTCTGCTTTGCGTTCCATTCCTGTCGAGCCATTTCCACTGCAACAGCTAAATACAGTCCACAAAAGGGCATCGAGTTTAGGTTATACTTAACTTAAGGTTTATAATTGATAGAAAAACATTTGGGACGGCTCATTTCCAAGTAACAGTACATTGCAGCTTTCCAGACATCTTAGAAGGAACTAGGAGAAACACTTCCTCATGAAGCTCTTCAACCCTGCCTCGAACTGAGACCACTACGCCCCTCCAAGTTTCTCTACATGTGCCGTTGAGTTTGCGCAAATATCGCAACTCACTTTCGTTTTTTCAGTTTTACTTTGTTAGATTTGTGATTGGCTACAGAGCTCACGCCACTTTCTGAACTAAACAATCACAACTTGCTTGCATGCGTTTTCCCGCGCTCGGCAGCAGCTACATGTATTTGCCTTGCGTTTTGATTGGTTCATTTGACGGTTTGAGTCCGCTGACCTCGTCCGTCAACATTCATACCTATTTCCCGTTGTTTACTTTCCTTCCACGCATCTCTCGCCCCCCGTATGGCTTGTTCGACTGCTTCAGAGATTTTCGTCTCTTCCTCTTCGTGCCACTTTACTTCAGCAATAGCTAGGGCAGCTTCCACCGCTTTGCTTTTTTCCAATTCCGTTTCTTTCTTCCAACGAAGCTTTTCGTGAGTGAGAGCAGTCTGCAATAGGCTGTCCTTCGGAAACAAAATTATTTAAAAAGTTATTACTTTACTTAGTTAACTGTCTCGTACAACCAAAATCACTACAGAGGGAGATAACAAGATGAACGGGAAACACTCTGGCTACTTACTCGCACACCAAACCAGTTCTACATGCACTTGAATTTCCTGCGTCTGGCCAATCAAAATGGGAAATTCAAAACCTTGCTGGAACTACCCTACTGGTGCTAAATTTCGCGGATACTAAATTACGCGATTTTAGTGAGACAGTATTTCGCGGAGTTGTCTTTTCGCGATTAATAAGGAAAATGTGAAAAAGGGCATCAAATTTCGCGATTTGAGCGTTCTCAACTTCATTGTATTTTTCAAAAAGGGTAGGCTCATGTTTTAAAAGATTCTAGATAAACTGGAACAAGTAAAACGCACATTTATGTTTTTTATACGAATCTAGCGATCTAGATGAAGATGACCGCTAGATTCTCTACTCCATATGTGAAACCTTTGCAAATTAAAGTTATTTCACAACAGAAAACAAAAAATTGGAGTTTACCAGTAAAATCAGTTAATAATGTGGGTATTTGTCAATACATATCCTGTATATGTTATCGTTGTTACACGCTAATCATTTTTTTATGTAATGTGAGTTTTCTATGCGTGTTAAATCTCTCGTGCAGTTTTAAAAAATTTCGCTAGGATTTTTATTCGCGGGTCTTCAATTTCGAAACGCAGAGCTAAAGGCCCGCGAAATTAAGTACCAATGAGGTAACCATGATTAAATGTACGTTGGACTGACTTACTTGTGATTTGATTTCTCTGTCCCATTCGTCTTTAGCCTCAGCTACTGCATTAGTGGTAGCCACCTCAACAGCCTGGTCGATCTCTCGCTGCCTCATCTCCTCGTCATTTTTCAGCCAGTCCGCGTGAGCATGGGACAGAGCCAATTCCACTGCCTTGTTGAGTTCTTGGTCACGTGACTCCCTGTGAACCCTCTCTAACTCGGTACGCAGTTTTTCTATTTCCTAAAAAGACGGCAGCCAAATATTTAGAAGAGAGCGTCAAAGGAAGAAACTAGCGTATGATTCTTCATGTCGTACTTTTGAATTTGAAGTTTGTGCCCGTGATACTTCAGACAGGTTATTTTTATTTAGTTTTTTTTTTCGCTTGGTTTTAGCCACGTCTACACGTAAAAGATTTTCCTTTCAAGAGTCCTTCTTTTCTTTCCGATGAGTTTAAGTAGCCTCTAGTTCTATCGTGTATAACAGAAGAACCACTGTCAATTCTATTCCTGCAACACTGCAGATAACTATAGAATGTCTCCTTAGCGTATGCTTGCATTCTGTTTGGTATAAGTCTCTCATTTTCTATAACTCTCCAACTAAAATATGAAGACAAGTAATGCAGTGGCCTGTAGACAACGTCCTAGCGTGTGACCAATCATACGATCTCTCTTCTACAGTACGTTTAATATCATTGAATACTCATGAAGCTTTCTCAAGCGGACAGCCTCGGAAAGAAAAAACTGCGTCTGCAACTAGAGCTAGAGCTGTGGGACAGGGGGAGAGGTTGCGAGTGTCTAGCACTCCTCGCTCACTTCGCGCTTGACTTCTGAAAAAAGCCAAAAAAAAAAATGCCTTTTCTGCAGGCTATTTTCCAAGCGGTATATCGAAATGGGGTTTTATCAAGGCCACTGTAAGGAGAATACTCCATCGCGGTGACTGTTAAAAGAGCTTTGACCGTATTACAAAATGAAAACTCAAAATGTCAGGGGTAAATTTCTGACCTCTTTTGTTTTTAGCTTCTGTTCTTCGTCCCACATTCGTCTAACTTCTTCTATGGCATTAGACAAACGCTTCTCCAGTTCATCATTATGTTCTTTTATCCATTCTTGTCTGGCAGCAGCTATTTGATCATCAACATCAATCTGGTTACTGCAAGATTGCAGTTCACTCCATTCTTTGCGCGCCTTAGAAACTTCTTCTTCTACCAGCCTAGTCTTTTGGTCTTCGATGTCCTGCGCAAAGAATACTACTGGTAATGAGAAACGGTAATGAAGGGTAAAAAGTGGGTACTGGAAGTAATTTTATTACACTAAGCAAATAAAGATTAATAAGACTCGACGGTCGCTTTTCATCAGCGATCAATGTTTTTCAAATTAAAGACACTCAAAGGGAACCAAAAACCTCTTTGTAGCGACTTGGCGTGGTGTAACTTGTTTTTTAGCTCTGCATTTGGGAGTATCGCGGAAGCGAGTAGCACGCAAAAGAGATGCTTTGACTCTTGTTTGCGCCTTCTGTTGCAGCTAGTTTCGTTCCAAAACGAAATGAAGAGCTTGCTGGCAAGCTATTTGCTTTTCTTTAAATTTTTTTTATTTAAACTTGGAGATTTTACTTCAATTTTGACTCTTACACTCACTGAAATAAAAGTGCTAACAGTTGACAAAACAGAGTTACAAAACGTAAAACCCACCTTTAGCAGTTGTTCCTTTTCTTTCATAAATTCATCTTTAATTTTTGAAACCTCTTCTTCCTTCCACTCCTTACATGCTTTCTCTAATTCATCATTGTATTGTTTCTCAAAAGAAGACCGCAGCTCATCCACTAGTTTAGCTTCACTCTGAAAGTAAAAACAACAACAGTTATCTCTATTTGATAGTACTTTAAAAATCTTTTGAATACATTTCACTTTTGTTCTTGTTCCTTACTGCAAAATGAATAATAATGGGCAAATTTACAACAAAGCGCATTTTCTATGTGAATTTGTATGCTTATTGACATGTTACAGGGCACAGAAACTGAGAACGGTATTTTCCAATATACATATGTAAGCTTGCCTCAGACAAAAGTACTTGTTTTTCCTTCTCAAACTGTTCTTTTAATTTCTCTTCCAGGCTACGTGATTCCTCGCTCAGCTGAACATAACACTCCTTGATCCTTATTAACTCTTCACCACTTTCCTCCAATTCTTTCCTACAATACAATAAAATACAATACAAACATGCATGTAGTTCACTGGGCTCGATTACCAGCCATTTTGTGCCTAACGCCATTTTGTACCCAAAACGGCTGAAAATCAAGCCTAGTAGTTCACTTGTATTGCAAATCCGTTCATGAAAAATGAGAGACGCCTCGTAGCTGTAAGAAGGTCTCACAGCTCTGTTTGGGAAGACAATGAACGAACAAAGTTAACGATGGAACCCAGCCCCAAAGCAAAAGAGCTGCGACATATAGGGTTCCAATGAAATAAGAGGTTTTAAAGGGGTTCGAGCCTACTTAAGACTGAAAAGAATAATTCACCCAGCACTAGGACATGCCAATGCCAAAGGTTTTCAAAAGGGACCCCAAGTGACCCATGTATTGTAGCCATGACAACAACGATTACAATAAATTCTGTTAGTTTACTAGTGTACAATAACAGTACATACACTTACTTTAGGTTTCTGACCGTCTGCTCATTTTCCTGGATTAACTGATCTCTTAACATGTTCTTGGAATTCTCGTGGAGCTGAAGACATGCTTCTCTGCATCTAAGAAAAAGATAAAAATGCAAACATCACAGCAAAAGAAGTCTTGATTATTAATCTGCAGAGAGGTCCTACCCCAAGCCTTCTGGTTTCCACTTATAAATACTTTCACATCCTAGCTCTGTATATAATCAAAACCTTTATGAAAACCCAAAAAGATAAAAACATCTGTTGAGTAAAATATTACAACAAGAGAGAATAATGGAAGAGAGAGGAAAATACACAGTCTAGCTCTTAGGATTATGCGAATTTCACCAAAGTTATTTTTTTGACCAATTAAACACTTGAAACTAATCACGAGTTTTCTTTCGGAGAGGTCCGCAAACTTTTATTCAGTATTGTCAGGAGAAAATTCAACAGTCACCATTACAATATTCTGCACTGTTTGCTTTGAGGCAGTCACACATGGAGTTGATGACGTTTCAAACAATCAATAAGAATATGCGGACTTCTCAGGTATTAGACTTCTGTTTTAAAAACTGTGGCAACATTCACATATCCTGGCCAAAGCCCTGAGATTTTCTCTCTGTGCCATGATTCTATCTTGATTACAGCCTTATATGGCGCAAAAGATGAAAGACATTATTGTCACAATATGGTAAAAAAAATTATTCTTATTTGTCTGCCATGTATGAATAAGACCATTAATTTTGGGGCCAAAGATACATGCAATGTATGTCTGTAAAAAAATTTAATTTACTTTTCAATGCTTATCCTCTTGTCTTCATCAAATTCTGCCACCATCTGAAATTTAAAGGAAAGGCAATAATATGTAACATTTATAAGGAGGTAGCAAGTATCACAGTAGTTTGAAGTTATTTTATGCTATCATTTAGCTATCTCATTGATTGATTATAGTTTATTCATTTTTCCTTTTATTGTTAAATTGAATTTACACAAGGGTAGTGTTTTATCTGTTTCCTAATATATTTTCTGCTGACTAGATTCAAAAGCCCTGTTAGACAACAATGCAGAGGTAGAATTAGTAAAATTAATTCAACAAGCTCTAAATAATAGCCATAGTCTTATTAACTTGAGCTGCATATTTTTTATATAATGCCATGGTTAACAGAGAGGATTCTTTTACCTGAGCCATCTGTTGCTTTAGATCAGCACAAGTCTCTGATAAGTCATCTCTTTCCTTGAGAACTTCATCCAGATTACTAGCAGACTCCTTCAATCATAACAAACATTGGAACTCATAAAAAAATATGATATGCATCAAAAGATGCTTAAGCTAAGAATATAATAGTATAGTAGGAAATCCCAAGAAAAATCGATGTTCACTACATCGGATGTTTCAGATTGTAAGCAGAGAAAGAGGAAGACATCTTGTGAACCATTGTAATTTCACTTACAGTATGCTTTACAATGTGGTAAAGACACCATCAACACAGTGAAAATACCTGTAAATTTCTCCTAGCTACCTCTAAATCTTTCAGCGCTTTTTGATGTTCTTCACCTGTATTGAGTAAAGAAAATGTAAAACCTTTGTTAATGATAGAGGGAGAAATAGAATCAAAAGAGGAAATGTAGGAATGGGATAGAACAAAATGGAATGGGATAACTGAGGAAGGAGCAGAAACAGAAGGTAGGAAACAAGGCACACGGGGGGAAAGAGGTGAGGAAAGGACAAATGGAAGAAAGGAAGGAAAGAAAAAATGGAAGGGCATACAGGCACGGATCTAGGAAAAATACTGATCGATTTCCTAAATGAGCACTGAAGGCACAAGCTTCTAGGGGGTCTGGGCGCAGGCTCCCCCAGGAAAGTTTTTTGGATTTTTTAATTTCCATTTTTAATTTTTCTAAGTCACTCAGACGAGATATGGGCCAAATTTCAACTTGGAAAGTGTTTTTTATTATTAACAATATATTGATTATGAAAAATCTGACCGATTTCAATAAAATGGTGGAAGCCGGTGTGGATTAATCTGCGACTGGAATAGATACATCAGTACGTAGTAGGGGGGATGATAAGTGGGGGAAAAAAAGCAGAAGAAAGGACCTGTGAAAAAAGCAAGATAAAGAGAGACAGGGTACATTAGAAGAAAAGGGGAAGGTTACAAGTGTGTTACAAGTGGGGAGAAAAGGATGTATAGCACAAGTGCAGGGAATGAGGGAAGAAGGAGAATGATGATGGAGACAAGTGAAAAGAGCATGGGAATAGGGGAAGGAGGAAAGGATCAAGGACAGGGGGATGACTTACCTCAAATCTTCATTTCTCCCAAGATTTTTAACTGAGTGGACAAACAAATCTTCATTTCTCCCAAGATTTTTAACCGAGAGGACAACTCAGCTTAATATCATTGAGGAGTATGAGAACTGTGCATTGTATGCAAAAAACCACCTGCAGCACTCATAGTCATTACCTGGATCTCTCTTTTCATTCTCCATTTCCTGAATTTTTCTGGCCAGATCCTGAGCTTTTACCTTGATTTAATAGGCAGAAAGAAACATCAATCAATATTCTTAATTCCTAGCTTTATTTGGCACCACAGAATAAGCAGCATTATGACACTGAGTCTAAATCTTAGGTACTAGCCAATTGGTCAACTGGGCAGAAAATGATGATCAGCCGTATTTTTATATTTTCTTTTTTTTGGTCAACTAAACACACCTATGTACGCTTGTGTTAGAATACCCCACCTCATGTTCCTGAGCGATCACTTCCATTCTTTGAGCTTTTGATTCCTGCTCCTTTAGTTGACTCTTTACAGTGTTCAGTTCTGTCTCCAAGTTGTGTACTTGATCCCTTTTTGCTTTGTTATTGATCAGGCATTGCTCAAGTTCTTTCCTCAATTCAGTGACTGTCTCTTCCAAAGGCATTTTACTGACAAGGCAAACAAAAACTGTTTTCAACTCCACAAAATACATTCGAAAGGGGGTGATAAAGATAATTACATATGTAATGACGTGACTGACTGACTGACTGACTGACCAAATGATCGAATGAATGATTGATTGACTAACTGGCTATCTGGCTTGTGACTATTGGCTCACTGACAAAAAGCAATAACTGCAATTTCTTTGCTGTAGATACAGTAATTCCTCCCATCAATAAGCAAAAGTGAACACTCCACTGGGGTACTAACTGATTCCATAACATTTACTCACTCTTTCTCAAATACCCTGTAAGTCACATTCACTCACTCACGCATTCATGATAGACTACACTAATACAATGTAGCAAACTAGACATAATGGGTAATAGGACTGAGTGGAGTCCAATTTGGTCTGTAATCATATGAGTGATAACAAAAATTGGACGACCACCGCACATAGCAGGAGACCGATTTGTATAATCACAAGTATGATTACAAACCAAATTGGACAACACAAAGTTCTGTTACCATTATTTCTAGTTTGCTACATTGTATTAGTGTAGTGTATCATGAATGAGTCAGTGGGTGAACATGACTATAGAAAAATTTGTGATTTTTTTACGCCATTTTTAAATCAAAGCACAAGAAATTCAAAGAGTTTTTTGCTAGCAGTGAAAAAAAAAGTCCTTTTAGAGCGTGCTTGCATGATTGTGCGTACTGTCCAATTACTTAGGCATGACTTATACTGTCCTTTAACACTGTCCTATTAATGTTGGAATCAGTACAATTGATAGCCAATCAGATTTGAGAATTTTGTTACAGTTATGATTAATAGCTGAACAGTACGTGCATGAATCTACATGTCATGTGCCTTACTCAGGCTCTACACATAAGCATTGGAGAAGCTAAGGTTCACCAATCCCAAAGGTCCACGTGTCTTATTTAACTGTAACTAAGATAATCAACAAGAAAACACATTCCTGCCTTTCTTATGGATAAAAAATTTGTGTACTTACTGAGACTTTGGCGTGCTCCAGTTCTCTTTGTTCAAGTTTCTTACTGTGAGATGTGCAAAGGAACTGTCTTGGATGCCAGTTCCTAACCCCACACCAAGTCGACTGGCACTCTCATACATCTTGACTTGTTCTTTAAGCTCTGACAGCTCATGCTTCACCCATAAAACAAAAACCTGAGTAAGTCTGATGAACTTCACCAAAAATAATATTCTTTCTTACTTATGACCTGTTTATACTTTTCTGAAGCATTATTTTGAACACAAATTTTACAGAAAGTTTTGTGAGTGTTTTTAACTCAGGGAAGGATGAATGGCCTCATTAGAAATGGTTGTTGGGCATGAAGGTGTACCTACATGGTAGGAAAAGATCACATGGTAGAAAGAGGAGATGGGAAAATTGCATCTAAGAGACAGCTTTGATGGATCATGATCGCTACCAAGACCACATGCATGCCGTCACGACATCCTGAAACAGTATACATGTACAGGCTGTAAGGCCATTCAACTATAAACCAACCCTTGTTGCAAATAGCAACGACTGATCGAATGATGAAACAACTTATTACTGCTCACTGTCTTGTTTACTGTGATTAGGTTGTTCTTCAAGACTCCAAGAACAAATCTTTAGTTCTCACACCTTTCAGAAAACTTTAAAACCTATTATTAAGAGTAAGCACTCTCTATACATAAATGTATGTACGACCACAACAAGAGAAGAAGAAGTCCGAGGAAAAATAACTGGCCTCAATTTTCATTCTTATAGTTTAAACAGCAAAGACAGTCTACCTTCAGAGAAATGCACTGTCCTTCAGTAATGTTCCTGGCAGTAGCACTCTCTTGAAGAGCAATTCGTAACTGGTTAATTTCTGTCATTGTTCCTATAGCAAATGAAACACTCAAAACAATGAATACACTTGCAAGTACAGCTGTACACTTGCATGAACTACACAAACAAGACATAATAAGGGGATGTCCCATTTTTTTCCCAAACCCTCAGTCCTCCGTCCCCCGCCCCCTGTAGATGAGCAGATTCCTACCACCACACTTTTTTCTCAATACACATTGAAAAAACCTTTCCTACCCCCCTAATTTTTATGTCTGTCCCTTTGAAAATAGATTCCTACAAGTTACAGTTATCTACCAAGAATACTCATACATAGGGGGGATCGGAATAAAAATGGAATGTCCCAAGCTTATTATATTTAATAGTACTTTCCATAAGTTAAAGGGATGTCACAGTCAAAGAATGAAAAGGTACAATGAATACAAACCTGACTTCAGTATTTCCTGGCACTGCTTCTGACTGGAGTCTAAACTCTTTGTTAATGAGTTGATCATTTCTGCTTTCTCAACGAGTTCATCTCTCAAATGACTGGCTTCTTCATGCTAGTTTGCAAATTGAAAGCCAAGTTAGAACTAGTGTATGCACTGAGATTTAACGTACATTTATTCTCAAAATGAAAGCAAAGAATAATTTTGAAGCCTTGTTTTTTTGGTCTGCATGATTAAAATAATAATCACTCAGATATAGCCTCATATACAACTTTACCCCAGAAACATGATTTCAGAGCACTTTGGCACCAAAGAAAATATTATACTCAAAAAATACTAAGAAGGGGCACCTTATGGTCTCTTGACAAAACTGCTTCATCAAGCTTCTGTTTAAGAGTTAAGACTTCCTCCTCATGCCTTCTTTTCATCACATTAACCACACTTTCATGCTGTTCCTTAGCCCTTGCCAAAGACTCTGAACGACTAAGTTCCACAAGCTGTTGGTTTAAGCTGTCTATTGTTGTCTCAGCTACATGTAGTTTACTGATAACCTGGAAAGATACGACAGTTTACACTGCGTTTCCATGATAATAATACTGCACTTTTTTAGGTGTCTGGCACCTTATCATACAGGTCCCAGTACACACAATATAGTTCAAAAGTTGGGTGATGCTACCGACCAAAGAACCCTTCTATCCAGTGGATAGTGCAATAATTAATCAGTTTCCTAGCCTGCATCACAGAGGACGTACATGTAATTTAACCCTGGTTAGTAATGTCTGCGAAGCAGTGCCGATATCCTTGTTTTGGGCACCCAACAGACCCAACCAAATATTACATAAATTATTACATTGTAAAATGCGTTTTGAATTTCCCATCAACCTGATTGGCAAATTGACAATGGCATTTTTAACAGTCCTATCATGGCATGTACTCAAATCCTGGTACACACCCAGGTGAGCGCCCAGAACAAGGATTTTGGTGTTGCTTTGCAGATGAACTTAACCAGACGTTAAGTTGCGTCTCGGGCGGGCTACTGGTTTCCCTAACACTTATCCACTGGAATGTGATTTATCCTGGGGATAGAACTATCTACATGTAGCTTGCTAACAATTATTGGAGCCAGGGCTGCACTCTGCAGTATAACAAACTCGCACCTGATGACTTACACTCTACTTTTGCCTTTAGGCAACAAGGAAATCTGAGTATTTGCACAGAACCTGCATTAAATGCCAAGCTCTATGTAAGCCCCGGGTTCTGTTTCTCTCATAGCAAACCCTTGGATATCTTAGAACCAATTTTTCCCTCTGGGTTATAATAATTTAAACTGGAAATATGGAAAAGATAAATTCACTATACCATTACAGCAAGCCTGCATTAATGTCTAGGTGATTAACTACCCACTAAAGGAAGATGCTAATGATGAGATAATAATTATCCCATCATCATCAGAAACCCATAAAAAATTATTTCTTATGGGTTTCTGCCAAAAGAGATTATTACACACCTTTACTTCAATAACTACTCACTGCAGCTTATCAATTACACATCATCACAATCTGAAAAAGTAGTACCAACCTCTTCTTTACTCTCTTGTAATGCACTGATCTGTTGGTAGGCAGCTGCTAGTTGGCCTTTCAGGTTGTTCAATTCTGTATTGCATGTCTTCACCATCTTCTGTGACTGCTCAAGACTCGTTGAGAGCCCATCACGTTCATCTAAGGATTGCAGCAAATTGAATTAAAGTTAAGCTTAAGGGACAAAAGGACCAAAATAAATCTTTCAAATTGAGGAAAATACCCCCACCCCACACACTAGAGAAACCAGACACTAGAACTTATTAGAGCGATTTTCGTATGACCTTGAAATGAAAATGCGCGAACAAAACATAAACAAGAAACAAACAGAAATAGAGCGATTTGATTGGTTTATCGAACAGATACATGTCAAAAGTAGCCGGCTGCAGGCGAAAATCATCACCTACTTGGTTAGTATTGGCCAGCTACTCTTGGCATTTCTTTATGGATGGCGTTTTTTAAATAAAATATCCCTGGACTGGCCGCTTACTTTGACTACTCAGCCATCTACTTCAAAACTTTCAGACAACCCTGTACAAACACAGGTGGCTTTTGGTTGGTTATAAGCGCTCAACCGATACTTTACTTTGGCGTCATACTGCAATACGATTGGCCAATCAAACAATGTCTTCTCCATATTAGGGTTTTCTTTGGCGGGAAAACGAAGAGGCCACGTTTTGATCTTTTCATCCATTGGCTGATAAAAAAAACAACAAACACTTACCGAAACCATTTTTCAAGGTCATATGAAAATCGCTCTAACTTGGTTTCTACTGAAAAAATTGTCTTCCAATCCCAAAATGAAATCATACGGATTTGAGTCATTTTTTTGTGTCTGAAGACCTCTTCAGTCCTCTCCCTTCAGTCCTCAACATATCCTTTCCTCTGACGTCTAGGTGTACAAAATTGTCACATTATTTTACATACTGCCTGCTGTTTGGAGGGCGAAGCTGTTTTTGGTTATTCATACCTTTAATCAGTGCAATCTGATGATTCAAAACACGTATCTCTTTTGTCATTTCATCTTCTTGTGATTCCAACTCTCTAGTCAGTTCTTCAATTTTCCTGCCACGTGCTTTGTATAATATCTGAAGTTGAACGTCTTGTGTCCCACTCCCTGAATACCCATTTGAAATATCATTTCTTTCTGTAACATGCCTATCAGAACCTCTGTCATGAATGCGTGAAGTTGGTTCATGCTGTGCATAATATTGAACTTGATAATTCCCAAGGGTATCCATTCTATAATGATTCGGCACATTTGTGCTGTCAGCATTGTCATCATGGACATTCTGATCAGGGCTGATGGTTCCTTCACCTTCGTCATAACCACCATAATCTCCATAGAAATCATCACCACCAGGCACATTTATTTGTTTGCTAAAATTTCCAGCTGGGTAATGAGACTGATGATAATGCTGATTTTGTGCCTCCTGGTGTGAAGGGAATTGTCTCTGTACTCCAAAATGAGGGTGATAATTTCCATATTGTTCATAAGCCTTATCCACATCATCACCTATGGGTGATGTTCGATAATTTGAGCCACCTTCTTGCTGGTGAAAATTTTGTGAGTACTCATCAACTTGACCATCAAAAGGACTCTCCTCCTCTCTGTATTCATAATAACCTTGATGATTATAACCGTCTATTTCCTGATGTTCTTGATCATAATTATTGTGCTGCTGAATCAGCATTCCAGAATTGGAATCATCATTCTGTCCTGACCCATTGATGAAATGAAAGGCACGCTGTGTAATTAGTGGAGGAGGTCGCTCAAATGCACCTCTCTCAGAAGGAATGAGTTTCTTAGGATCATGTCCATTCAAGATTGTCTGTTGCTCTTGCTCAGTGAAATCATCGGAGTAAGGTGTATCTCGGCTATACCCTGAACTTCTGAGGTCATGAGATGAGAAAGATGCATTGTCATCCTCCAAAAGACCATCATCAAGTTCACTGTTTAACAACTCGCGGATCTTTAAAAAAAACACAAAGGTAAAGTTAACACAAACACTAAGGTAAATTTCTAATTAAAACTGTAAAATACTTAATACGTTAAGACTAGTGTAAAATACTTTGCTATACACGCTGTATGGGTTATGTATCTACTGGTATTTTTACTTTTTTATATTATGTCCAGTGTTCAGTATTAGGCTTTTTAGAAGTCTGGGAGACTGCCCACCTACCCCTCCCCTACACCAACATTAACATTTAGTTCTTACTTAGTAGTTGGCTCAGGGGAGGGGTAGGTGGGCAGTTTCACAGAAATGTAAAATGATCCATTTATGTTACGGTGTTCCCAATATTTTTTTTAGCAACACCATACTAAAGTTACACAACACTTGAATAAAGTTTATTATTATTATTATTATCATGTTGACTGACATTTGGCCAAATGATATAGACTGACATATCCACTCAAACTCAGTCAACATGTCAACTGATAGTCGATCAACATTTCGATTCAGTGTTGGCTGATATGTCCACCAAAAGGTCAACCGATTATCAGCTGAGTGTCAACTTATATTTGGCCGAGAGGTGCCTAAATTAGATAAGATCCATAATTTCTTATCAAAAGAACATTTTTTTAAAAGGTTTGATGATGATGATGATGATGATGATCAAACCTTCCCTGCAGCCCCTCTATAGTTACAAGTCAACAGCAGCATGTTAGACGCTAGTACCTCTTTCTCTCTTTCTTGATCTTCTTTTTCCAAAGCTGCTTCTTCTTCATCTTCTAGCACCTTTGAGCAAAATAAGGGTGCACTGGTAACAATATCGACTTTATAAAAGTCCTGTGGTAGTAAATTTTTTATCTCAGGTAATTTTTTTTTCTTTTGATTTTGGGTATGGTAATGTATGCTAATGAAGTTGAAACAAAAGAAAAATAAAAATTACCGGAGATAAAAAAATTAACTACAACAGTCCTTTTTTTCCCTGGTTGGATATGCCATTTTAAAAGACCTCTCATACCTGATTCAAATCCATTCAGGTTAAAGAAGTCAACTTCATGACTTCTTCACTCGCTCGGTAGTAGTACAACCTTAATGAAACTTGCTTCGCTTGCTTTTCAGAAATTATAAGAGATCGAGCTAGCAAGTCTCAGTGGTAAATACACATGTACTGTTCTTACTGGATGCGTGTTTGAATGGACCTTTTTAGCTTAGTAGGTTTTATTTTCACAAGGGAATTTGCCTTTTGTCAACATGGATAGCTAAAAGGGTCTATTACTGAGGAAGCATGCTGGGAATTAATTAAAGCCAGTCATCATTCCGTAATGATCACAGCTATGAGTATCTGTGAAATTTCTCGATAACTTATACTGAAAGACAGAACTAGCCAATTGACTATTGCATCAATTTTGATTAGGTGTTCACCATCAAAGCAAGATCGACACAAGAAATTGTGTCTCTCAAAAATATAAAGTGACGGTCGGGTGGTAATGACTGTGATGTGGATGCAATTGTGGTTGCTTCACCCAAACGGTGATTTGCCCGAAGCTGTTTCACCCAGATATAAGTCGCTTCGCCCAATGATAAACAACAATCTACAACACAGCTTTTCAGAGATGTTTTTTAGGATTGAATTTTATTGCTGTGATTGCTAAAAAAGGTCCAGCGATCTGAATAGTTTTGTCAATAATCACACTCAAGATACTGAAAGACTCCACAATATATTTTATTGCAACAAAGTTTTGACTGGAAAAATGTTGCTGACCACATGTGATGTCACTGTCTTTTTCTGCTTTCCTTTTATAAGGCTTCAAGAACAACAAATAAACATTTGGCAAATTGACTTAACTCCAGGCAAAACAACTTTGGGCGAAATGACCTGTTACCTGTGGATGATGTAGGAAGAATTATTTGAGTCTGTAGTTTCCCAAAAAATAATCAGAGTGACTTTTATAACTGTGAAAAAAACTCCCAGAGCATTTTTTGCCAAGAAACTTAACAGTTGTCTATAAAACTATTGTCATTAAAATTTTCGTAGATGAAATTAGCTATCTACTAATTAAAAGACACAAGACACAGATGTTAAAAATGCAGGTGCCACAACATTCCACTCCATACAGATTACTACAAGAAAGTTTAAATGCAAGTGCAGAAATCAAATGAGTTTTGATTGACATTCAAAATCTTGCCTGCAATCTTAGAGTGAAAGCAATAAAAGTACTTGCATGGAAAACCGAATCTAATGAAAAAAGGAAAATTAGCATGATCTATGACAGATGCGAATAGTAATCACATGCAAACTTCACTATTATTTTTGTAGCATAAACGCAGGGGTGAAGTCAAGCTAATAAATAAAACAAAAATCGTGTTGAGAAAAATCTCCTAAGACTAGACGAGAACCTGTTTGATGATCGATCGGTATGGCTGAAGGACTTTATCGGCAAATAAAAGCTCGCTTTATATTAAAACCTGTTGTCGTATCGAGTTAAATTAAAGAAAGAATCTTGTGTACTGTAAATACTGTAATTAGGTCAAGAAAGTCGGTATATCATATACGTGAACAAACACACTGCAGAAAGCTGCTACACACGCTACAATAAAAGTCCAAGAACCAAATAGTTCTATCGAAAAAGAGAAGCACATACATTTGTCTTCGATGTTTGAATTACCCTGAGTTAGCAGACCTCCAAGACGGAAAATATAAAACATGATGTGAAAGAAAGTGATATCGCCTCATCATCGATGCATGCAAACTTCAACTTTAGCTTCAATTTGTCAAGTCACAGATGCCTACCTGAGGGTCGAAATTCACTTGGCTGATCCCAACACTCATGCCAAATAACTTCGTGGTAGTTTAAGATGCCATGTTCTCTCCGAAAGAAGCATTTTCTTACCAAAGAAGAAATAAATTTTTCGAGTACTTGGCTTGCAGATGAAAGCGGTCATCGACATCCGTAGTTCATTTCCGAACCCTCAAGGGAATTTGCCCGCGAAAAAAATATGACTAGTGCCAGTTTTCCCTCTGGATGCCTTTTAGCAGGAGTCTGGTGCAGACATGCCTGTATCCCATGAGTGTTTGAGGTCTTGTTGCCACGTATGGTTCATGATCAGCGCCATTTTGTTCGAAATTTTTTGAAGATTTTACGTCGTAAAGATCCGACGTATAGACGGTCTGCTAAACTTGATTTCGCTCTGATCCGCCTTGGAAACGGTCTTCACATAGTTCGCTATGAATTGGTGCAGTAGCTTTTATTTTGGTTTAATTGTAGCCTTTCTGACCCTGGTTGTAGTTCAATGTACTGAGTTAACATTCGAGTTGGAAGACAACGCTAGACAGTGTTTCTATGAGGATTTAAAGAAAGACGTCAAAGGAACGCTGGAATTTCAGGTTAGCACTCGATTCATGTTGTATGTGAGAACTGCAATTTCTTGGAAACCAAGCTGTTTGTCTTCCTTTTATAAAGAACGTAACTAGCTCCCACACGTGCTGAAATGTACCGGCTTCAACAAACACTCATTAACGTTTTGTCTTTGTATTGGTCAGTTCAACAGGAGCTTACTTATCATAAGTTCAAAATTCAAGAGCGAGATTTTTTTTCTTAACGCGACTGAAAATCGTTTACATAAGCAAAAGCCTAAAGGCTAAAGACTATACTCTTTAATGAGAGATTTTAGAAGGTGTTTACCTCCAAACAGGGAACGTTGGATTGGATCGTTACGTTATCTAGTGTTGATTGGGTTAATTTGATAATATTGGATATAACGGAGCTAAATTGTATCATTTTAGGTTTTTTATTGATGAACCATATACAACGGTACTGCATTTAGATGATTGCGAGGACAAATAGAATAGAAAACATAATTATACACGTTACATTCAGGTTAAAATGTTTTTACCTAGGTTGATTCTAATATATTGCTTACCATTAAAAAGCTAACAGAAACATTTTGTCAAAGTGAACCAGATATTTGCAGTAGAATAAACAACTTAAGTGGTTGAAAAAGGAACCTGAAAAATTTGAAGCTTGACCAGGAATCAAACCCTGACCTCTGTGATGGCTGGATGCTACGCTCTATCCGTCGCAAAGGTGAGGGTTCGATTCCCAGTCAAGCCTGAGTTCTTTTAGGTTCCTTTTTCAACTTCTTACATTGTTCATTCCACTATGAAGATCATGTTCACTTTCATATTGTGTGGTTCCAGAAAATATCCATACCCCCCCCACGGAAGACCATTGGAAATTCCGAGGGGGAGGGGGGGTTCAAAGGCAGTAATTTCCGAGGGGTATGGGGGGTTCATGGGAAACTATTTTCCAAGGGGTGAGAGACCATGTACAAAACATTGAAAGCAACGTACGATCGATCTCAAGCACAAAAACATACCTACGTACGTTGTTTTGAAAAAAAAGTCGGTACTCCTGGCCATTGACATGAGGTTAACATCATTAGCTTTAATGTTTCTGTTTTTCTTTGAGTTCGCTAGCGCTACAATCTCCAGAAGAACGATGTGTCTTTGGAACGAAGTCGAAAACGATTGAAAATGGCGGACATAACTGGAGTCTTCTCTTCGTCTCGTCTTCGTCCGACCGACATTAAAGTGCTTTCACTTCTGTTCACTGAGTATCCCTTTTCGCTTCCTTGACATGCATGACACACATTTTTGATAGGTTTCATGTTTTATCAGCGTTTACTGTGCGTGGAAACTCATGAAAAATGCGATGAGACGAGAATACTTTCGTTCCCATTTCTTGCTCGACCTTCACAAGGCCCGGCTACCTGGCTAGTAAATTCTGCAATCGTGACGACGTTCACGAAATCTAGCGCATTGGCATGTACGTGTTGGTGAAGTTTTCGGCCCTTAAATAATAGTCAACCTGAAGAAACTGACAAAATCTGTAGAAATAAAAACAGCCAGACAGGAACCTTGTAAGTTTCTGGGTTTTTCTTGCTACCGTTTGCAAAGTTGTTTAAGCGGGTGAAACTTACATTTTCTTCATAACGTTCGTGTCGCAGTAAACACAAAAACGTAGAACAATCGACGTTTAAACTTTGCAAACCAAATGTTTAAGCTTAATTTATAAGCTTACAAAAAAACAACACAGACATAATTTGCAAACGTGATGGCGAAAAAGCTAAAAGTTTGGCTGAATAATAAACTTAACAAACGTTTACGCTGCACTGTTGTAATAAAATTCTTCCGTATTTTCATAACTGAGTTAGTATTAACTTTCTTTGTTTTTAAGTGCCCAAACTACTTTGAATTTCTAAAGTGTGGTAAGCGAAGTCCCCATTTTAAAATTCTGGAAATTCCTGGGGGGAGGGGGGGTCATCAAAGACCCCCTGGAACGGAAAATCCTGGGGGGTGGGGGGGTGCAAATCAAAGTGTCTTCCATGGTGGGGGTATGGATATTTTCTGGAACCACACATTTTCAAAATATGATTCATTTCATTCAATTCAGAAACATTTTGGGCAGGACTGCAAACTTCTTTTTCTTTTATTTTTGTTGGATGAAAAAAGTCTTATAGGCATTCATTTTCCTGTTTAGGTCATCAGTGGTGGAAACTATGATGTGGATGTGGTTCTTTATGATGAAAGTGGTAAACCTTTGTACACTGTTCAAAAGAAACAGTATGACAGTTACTCCTTCACAGCTCAAAGTGAGGGAGTCTATAAGTTCTGCTTCAGCAATGAATTCTCGACATTTAGTCACAAGGTAGTGTACTTTGACTTCCAAGCTGGAGACGAGACACCACTAACCAAGGAAATGGGGGCCCACCATACAGCTCTGACACAGATGGAGACTGCTTGTGTTACTATACATGAAGACCTTAAGGTTTGTTCAGGAGATGTTCTTTAATATAGTGCATTTGCTTTGTAGATCTGAATTCTTTCATTTCCAGGTGTCAACCGTTGTTATATATTGACATGTAAAAGCACTGCTATTACAACGAAATTCGTTGTATCGCACTGCGCGACATTTGTAACATTTAAGCCTTAGTCTGTAGATCAATTTCTTTAAATTTTTAATAATTTTGTTGAATATCGCATGCAACAAGCTGTGATAATAGTAGTTGGTCTGTTGTAGAGTACTTATTAAATACTGTAGTCATTTTATTTACATACCGAAAAGAATCGTTTTTATTTGTTTTCTATTTATACAGATTGCAACAGACTACCAAACACACCACCGCTTACGTGAGTCCCAAGGACGGGATATGGCTGAGTATCTAAATGAAAGAATACAGTGGTGGTCCATTGGCGAAGCCTGTCTTATCCTTTCTGTTGGAATCTGTCAAGTTGTTATTCTTCGACGATTTTTTGCAGAAAAGAGGTCAACTATTTAAAAGTTAGGGAATGCAACTAGTTATTTTGATTTGTACAGTGATCATGAAGTCTGTCTAGAACATGCCACGAAATTTTGCGAGATCAAGAACTGTGTTGGCTGATGGAAACTTGTTTTACGTTTATACTAAAGTACCAGGAAGAAAGAATCACAGCTTTTGGCAGAGGACGATGACTGTTTTTACTCTTGAAAATATTGTTATATATTATAGTAAACTGTTACTGCTGGAGGCACAACAGTTCTGTGAAAAAAATGTCTTTGCAGATGAAGCAAAACTGTTGAATTTCCATTTGTTACACTTAAATAGTAACATGAGTTTTGAATCCATCAGACAGAAAATCAAGGTCATTTAAGTGAAAAAAAAAATTAATATTGACGTTTACCCAAAAAGGGTTTTCAATCTTGCTAAAAATGCAAGTTCATCTCTAAACAATTCCACCCGTCTCTTTTCTGCATGTCAAACAAAAGGCCCTAAATATTACAAGAATTACATGGTTTCTTATTACGTGTTCCATAAGGATACTTTAGAGGCCACTAGATTAGAGTATGCGATTGAGTAGAAGTACCTAGAAAGGAGACAGAAAACCTCTGCGACCAGGGAAGTTTTCACAATATTGTCCCTCTCATGAAGATAATCACCTTTCACAGCAGTCGCCCCCCCTTACTTTCAGGTCAGGTCAAGCAAACCCCATAGATTCTACGATTTTTATGAACCAGTTATTTGAAACTTGAATCCATTGCCACCACTAGTATCAAATTCAAGTTCTCATTCTAATTCCTGCATGTATAATGAGCAAAGAATTTTAAACTACAATCAAAACTTTTATTTTATAACATTTGGCCCTGTATATAGCTGTCACCCTGTATATTAAGGTTACCGCAAATCTTCCCAACATTTTCAGTTGCCTTATATTTTCTGCAAAGTTGACCTGTATATAACTGTTACCTTACCATTTCCCAAGGGTGACAGTTGTACACAGGATTGACAGTATAACTTCCCTGTATTCAGGAAGACTGGAAGATCTTCACATTTTAAATAAATAAAATTCCTATTTTAAAAATATATTAAATGTTAACTCACTTACATATGCTAAATTGAAGAAATGAATCTGATACTGGTACTTACAAACCCTGGGCTTATACATCTTCATAAGGGGTTTAGGAGTGGGCCGATAAAAAGGGGGGGGGGGTATATCCTAGGAGCCTTGGAATGGAAAAATCACCTTGAAACAAGCTGTAGCAGAACTGATCAAAATACAATAATTTTATTTTCATTTACTAGTTTTAAGTTTAAGCTTCAAATAAACCAGAGTCATTTCAATACATTTGGAATGGGGCTTATGATAATTATTGGAAGTATTCTTTTGTTTACAGGTAGATGGGCCTATAACAGTGGGGGGGCCTTATAAATTGTAGGGCTTATAGGCAACAGTTTTTGCCCAGGGGGGTTACTTCGATTAGTTTTTGCTGGGTATGTGCCGCTGACCTCTCAGACCTCCTACCCCATTTTAGTCTATTCTGTGGCCAAATTATAGACCCCATCCACTGGCACATGCCCATTAGCCTACTTCTAGGAAGTACCTGCCCCAGAAGTTTTTCATATTGGCAATGACTAGCATATTCAATTTTCTTATAATTAATTGATTAAAAGAATCTATGGGAGTATGCTTGAACTGGTTAAAGACAATGTATTGGTCTTCATCAAGACAGAATGCTGGGGACATAATAATTTATTACTATTGACTCTAGATTTCAAAGTAAAATTAATTTTGTACTCAAATCTAAAGTTTACCTTTCACAGTCAAACCCCACACTGATGGGCCTATAGAAAGTGTTTGTATTAACGGGTTGTCCGTAATAAGCGGGTTGAATTTAGAGACAATGTAAGGGCTTTCTTTCCCCAGGGACAAAGCAAACTGTCCGTAATTAATAGTGAGGCCAGTGTCCGTATCAACTGGGCGTGTGTCCGTATCAACTGGGCGGGTGTCCATATCAACTGGGCGGGTGTCTGTAAAGCGGGGTTTGACTGTACTAAAATAACAGCAGCATTTGCAGCATTTCATTAGAACATACTCAAAAGCTACATGTAGTAAAGTAACTAAAAGACTACTTGTTTCCAACTGTTGCTTGAAATAACACAAAGTATTATGTAGCATGGAAATTGCGATTTTCTTACGCATTTATTAGGGACTTAAACAAAAATAGAATTCATGAGACTTGTATTTCTCCATAAATTATGTCAGTACACTTGCCTAAGTGCATGTAAAGCCTGTTCTCAACTCATAAAAACTTGTAAAACTGTTCTTAATACTGTAGGGGTTTGTACAGAGTCTTGAAAATGTGTTGAATTTTGCAAACCAAGTTTCTAGACCTAAAAAAATGCAGGAAAACAGACTTGGAAAAATGGTAAAAAGTCTAGAATTTTTCTTCAACCTACCATAAGTGCTTCAAAACTATATGATGTCTTTTTTAGTGGTCATAACATTCAGTCTCAGTTGTGTTAAGTGTAAGAATTTTCTTTTCCACATATTACTCAGTGGTTACCGTACCTTTGCAGTGCATCACGAGGAAAGCTTGGTTCCGGTGTTTTTCAAGTTTTCTATTGATCACTTACTTGATAACATTAAGTCTGGAAAAAATAGTTATTGTTTTCGAAAAAATCTGGAAAAGGTGTTGAATTTTGGACCCAAAAGTCTGTACGAAACCTTTTATTTCTCCATCCTGTTCTGTTAGAATCACTTTTTATAATAAACAATAATTATTAAAGTGAAATCATATGAATAAAAAAAACCCAGTTGACATTCCTATTTCATTGTGAGGAGATGTGAATGCAATGCCGTAAGGCTGGCAATTATTTGAGTTGCATTTTGCCATTCAAGTAGCCATGTGTCGCTGAAGTGTGACGTCATGTTACCATGGAAGTAAAATTTTTTGGATCACCATCATTTTTGGAGCAGCGACGACGGCGACGGCAACGTGAACGGGAAAAAAACAATAGGTTTAGATTAGCAAAACAACAACTTTGCACGTGCATCACTCTTTTTTACATTTCTTAGCCGTTGTTGCACAAATGCTACATGAAACTTCCTAGTTTCATGCTCTCGCTTTATAAAGTAGGTGAACACAACACAAAAATTTTCTTTTTCTTTTTCTTTTTCAAAACTTTCGAATTCAACGCCAGAAAATTTCGCCAATATTTGACAAATTTAAAATGAAATTGAATAAGATCGATGAAGTTTGAAACAGTGTGAATTCACGTTTTCGATTTGTTGTCATCCAGACGTTTTGCTACCATGGCAACGTGACGTAACGACTTCTCCTCTCTATTCTGTCAAATAACTACAATGTAGGAGGTAGCCTGCGTAGCAGGCGTTGAAAGGGGTAGGGGATAGGGAGGAAGGGGAAAAGGGAGGAAGATTGGGGAGAGAGGGTAAGGGGCCCTAGCCCTTTTCCCCGCTTTCGCATTATTAAACGGCGTAACAAACGCTTTCTATTTTTTTCAGTAGTATGGTCTTTTGCTTCCTTTTTTTTTTTACCCTCTTCATTAGAAGCGATCAAATAAGGCCTAAGCCACGTACGTCCAGATTAGGGTTGTGCTCAAAGAAATATCTATATGCAAAGAGTAACAAACGTCTTGAGTTCTAACTTTGTTGGAGTATGGACGGTATGGTCTTCTGCTTGTTTCGGAATTGTTTTAGTGGACTGGATTAAATCGTGTTGTTACATCGAAAGATAAAGTCCTTTTGATTTGTTTCAACCAGCGAGCGGACTAATAAGGCTTTGATTATTAGGGTCGGAATAACACAAAAAAACACAACACAGATGATGCACTCATGTCTAACTGAAAAATAAATCAAATAAATTTTACATTTAAGTCAAGGGGAGAAAAACAATTATACACTGATTATACTAGGAATGAAATCTTGAATAAGATAAACGAAAAACCAAGCTTAAAATGCATACAGTTACATCATTTTATATCATATTAAAACTCTAGCCAAATTTGTGATAACGTTATCGCCAAATGGACCTTTTGCGTCCAACAGTTTTTTTCGGCCATCTCCAAAGTAGATATTATAAAAAAACGACTGATTGCAACTATTGCTTTTTTCTCTTCTCATATCCTTTCCTTCTCCTCGCTCCTCAGTCTTTTTCTCCAGTCCTTTAGTTTTCCTTCGTTACTGTGATTTTGGACCATCTGATCTCCGGCTTAAGAAACCTGCCTTTTGACGTCTTTTCAATGATTGGTTAGATGTACTCAGACTTTAATTTTTGTCTACATTATTGTGAAATCCTAACTTATTTGCATGACATGAGGCCTAAGCCACGTCCAGATAACTGTCCTAAAGGGGTTTAATTAATGAGGGTGCTAATAGGTTTTTCGGGATCTGAAATTTCCCTTTGAAGCGCAGGATTCGGGAAAAAAAATATATCAAAATTTTTGAAAAATATCGGGGCGAGATTCAGGATTGAAAGTATGCGCGGGAGGTAGGATACAAAAATAGCCACTGGGATTAATGGCTGAACGAAATTTTGGGTCGGGATTACGGGATTAAAGAACCCTTAGTTCTAATTTTCCAGCGCCATTGCCTCTCTTGAAAGAAGCTTTATTTAATCTCGGGTTTGATGAGGTTGGTTAGGCCTCTAGCAAAACTATGCTATACGCCGAAAAAAAAAAACAAGAAAAACAAAACAAATAAATAAAATAATAGAGAAAGAAAGGGAAATCCAAAAACTTATTTACAGTATAAAGCCTAAAATTACGTGAGATAGCTTATAAAAAGCCCAATTACTTAATAGAACATAGATATTATATGTAATTAGCTAGAACTTTTATAGCTGTCGGACTGCTTTTTTAAAAGCTGACAATGTACTTAGGGATCTTAAGGTATCAGAAATCTTGTTCCAAGTAATAGCCGCCAAGTACTTTACTGAGTTCTTGCCATACTGAGTCTCTTTCATACAGGAGGTCCCCAGGGCCGTTAACTCGTATGGGATAAT